CGCGGAGGGTTTTATGGTGAAGATGAGAGACGGTAGACATCTGAGGTGTGTCCATAACAACCCTCAGGGTGGTCATGTAGTTGATTATGCTCCACATCCAGCAATAGTGTTGAAAATGGAAGATGGGACCGGCCTTCTTCTCCCCATCATTGTCGGTATGATCTCTCCATGGAGTTTGTTTATATTAGGGGATTCATTCACTACATAAAACTTACCAAATCTAACCTTCTGTTAATGGTTTCTATTTGACAGTGGAGATGCCGAGTGTGTTGCTCATGGCAGCTCTCCGCAATGTCCAAATTGTATGTCTTTTTTTATTATGTAAAATTACTATTTTCATATACCCTAACTTTTCATTGATGTTCTAACCTGTGTTTGTGTTTTCTTAAGCTCATAGCAAAAAGGGCCTCTCTGCCTTTTTAGGTAGGGGTAAGGTCTGCGTACCCCATCCTCTTCAGACCCATTTGTGGGACCTTACTAGCTTGTTGTTCTCGTATAATGTATCCTATCTTTGTAATACTTGTGGAGTGACACATTATTTCGGGTGCTCTTCATCAGGCTAGACCAACAATCTACCAAGTGGTGAAGGAAATGATTGAGAAGATGGGCTATGAAGTAATGAATGAGTTGGTTATTTTCGCGTTATTACCGCACTAAGCTATATCTATGAACCCAGTTGAATCTTAATGCTTAATTTTTTTCCCCTATTGTTTAAAGGTGAAACTTGCTCGCATTACGAAGAGAGTAAATGATGCATATTTTGCTCAATTGTATCTCACCAAGGTAATTAAGGCCTTCACTTAGCTTATTAGTTTTTTTGTTTTAAGGGATAACGAATAAGAATGTTCTGAGTATTAATCTGGACACCTCGCGAAAATGTTGCATTTTGCCCGCTCATAGCAATATGGTCATGAAAATGAGAGCATCAGCTTTGACCTCCGACCTTCTGATGCCATCAACATCGCCGTGAAATGCAAGGTATGTACTCTTTCTGTATATCGAATTCTTCTGCTGAATACATACAAAGAGCATCCCCTCTTTATATATTTGCAATGTCATAATTGAGTGTGTACGAACGTATATGAATATGATGAATGAATAGGTGCCAATACAAGTGAACAAGTACTTAGCATACAGTGATGGAATTAAGGTGGTGGAGTCTGCCAAGCCATTCACACCGGCTTCTTCACATTCGTCGCTCTTGTCTGAGCTGGATAGGTAAAAAAAACACGATAAGATCACAAACCAGTCTCCTTTGGGCATGATGAGTTAAAAACATATACACAGTTTTATAGGCGCCATTATATATGTATGTGTTATATATGTGTATGTGGTATGGTTGTATGTGTATTTATATATATACATACACAGAGGAAGCGAGGAGGCCGGGATTGAGACGAAAGAGTTCATTCTTTTGAGGAACATGCTCATTGCTGCAGTAGAGGAACGCTATAAAGATGCAGGTCAGTTCCTTCCAAGTCATGAATGAATTTTAAAACTATATCTATATATAATAAGCTAAGAGAGGAAGGAGGTTTAGGAACTGAAATAAGAAGAAGATTAAATTGTTTGGGTGTGCAGCTCAATGGAGGGACAAGCTGACTCAACTCCGCTCCAAGAGGAATTGGACATAATAATTAATGTATAGCTATATATAAGAAGAAGAAGAAGAAGAAAGAAGATAGCATATCTGAAGTGTGTAACATGTGTATATATAACCGCCGGCCTGTGAATTTGTGTGTCTGTATGTATATATATATATATAGGTGACTGTAATTGATTTTAAGAGGAAAAAAAAGGGGGGGTGTGGATAAAAACATGTATGGTCATCGTACTTGTGATTTCATCTCGAACATGCACGATCACTACTATGTTGTTCTCTATGAATAATGAACATTATTAAGCCGCCGGGTGCTCACCTTGTTGTTTTGTATGGATGAACATAATTTTGCTCTCTCATCTCAACCCGGCTCCCGTCAAAGGGCCAACTTGGATGTACTTCTCTAGTTAATCTTGGAGAGTGGGTTTTACCACTCAAGCCAGGGGAGAATTTTACCACTCAAGCCATGATAGAAGTCGAGTCACCTAATTGCGCATAAACCATCCAACTCAAGTGATATGGCTTCGAAAATAAAGTTTACATTTTTGTTCTTGGGACTTTCTAATATGAAAGTTTGCATTTTCTCACTTCTTTCTACTATATTATAATCATAGTTATTTAAAACTATGTGAAATCAAATCGTATATATTATTTTGAGACCGTACAGTTCACAGACTTATGATGAGCTCAAAAATCTTGGTAATGTTTCGAAACATCTCAATTTCGTTTTATAGTTCTCGTTTTGTTTGGGCAAGCAAAATTTTGTCCCGTCTCAACCAGCTGTCCTGAACCATCATGTTTTCCCGTTATATACAAACATATTTGTTTGTATATATAAATGAGAGAACACAACATAATGAAGAAAATAATAAAGAGAGAATATTCTTGCATTAAATTTTGTTTTGAATATAAGGATCTAACCCTTTTTATTTAGAAAGAGGGTAAAACATACAAGAAAATTTTTATTCCGACTAAAATAAGAACTAAGCAAATAAGAAAGATACTAAACCGGATACCAAAGAGATTCGGTTTCTTTCTTCGAACATCTCATGCTAGTACATCCCCTCAAGCTGGAGCATGGGGGTTCCGAATGCCCAGTTTGGACAAGACATAATCAAACTACCTTTGTTCAAATTTCATTTGAATACTTCAATAAATAAATTTTTTTCTTCCTCAACAGAGATGTCATTGTTTTCAAATTTGCCGAATAATCAATCGAGAAAAGGAGCACTATTCTTTTCAAATCTTCATAGAATCAAACGAACAAGACAAACGTTGTTCTTTTCAAACATCATGAACGTCAATTTTTTTTAAATTTTTGGCTTAAAGACATTGTCCTCATTCTGCAGAACAATCTTTGTTGGACTTTTTCTTCAATAGTAGTGGCTGTGATTCCTTAGCAGTCATGTTCTTTGCCAAAACAGAACAATCATATGTCATACCGGTTTTATGGACGGCGTGCACAGGTGTCGCGTACTTACTGAAGTTGCCATGACGGTCGAGGCTAGCATAGACGATGTTATCCTGGTCGTACGTAGCAAAAAGATACGCCCAACGATTATTCGGGGAGAAAAACAAAAGATCACGATATCCTGCCGGTAGGCATTGAAGTATGTATGCCCACCGACAGGAGAGTAGATCAAAAGCGTGTTTGAGGTCTCAAAAATTGAAAACTTGCTCTGATACCATAAAGAAAATAAAAAGAGAAAATATTTCAGTACCAAATTGTGTTGTGAAAACACAAAGATCTAACCCTCTTTATATAGGAAGAAAGTAAAGCAAACAAAAAAAATTCTATTCATACTAAAACAAGAATTAAGTAAACTAGGAATGATACTAAACTGAATCCCAAAGAGATTCAATTTCCTTCTTAGGATATCTCACGCCAACACGGAATATCATAGGTTTTATTTATCTGGGATACACAATATCCTATTTCTAAATATTTTTCTGCATTACTTGTTTGTGAAAGTTTATAAGATTCGTTAACTAAAATGTTACTTTTACATGTGTAAAAATATTTTTATTACATTTTATTAAAGAATTAATAAAGAAATTTGTATATGTTTAAATTTTAACAAAAAATTAGCATTTGTTCTCTTCAATTTATCAAATTGGTTCTGATCTGATTCGATTAAGTTCTAATTTATTTTTTATATTATATTTAATATTTTTTCTTATCTGATCTGATCTCAATAAGAATAAGTAAGTATTTAAAAATATGTTGAAGAGAATAAAGCTCTTGTGGTATGACATTTGAACCGTTCATAATTGTCCTCGTCCCAAAATAGAAAGGAAAAAGTAGGACAATGTGTTGTTTCGAACCATTTCGACCAGTTTCTATAAATAGACAAAGACCAGGACAACTAAAAACGTGAACTATCATGACCTGTCCCTTTTGGACGTAATATATTTGTCAATATATTTCTCTATAATTTTCTTATATTAGAAATTAAATTTAAAAATGTTAAAATTAAATATTGTTGTCAGTTAGAATTTTTGAAATGTTAATGAAGGTATATTATTTGGTATACCCCATTTGTCCATCATCAAATCTCACCATTTGATCTTTATCTGCTCTCTAATCCTTTTGTCCACACTTAAGATTGTGTGGTGCATCCTTGGAAATACATTTTGGTGTACCCCTGCATTTTTTCTAAATTAGTAGAAAGTGATTGGGTTCTAGAGTCACTCAAAGTGAATGGCTCTAGAAGACATAGACTAAATTAGGACCCTTATGGTCCGCTCAGAAAATTGATAATTTTTTCCCTTAACCCTCGATAACTTTCCCACCCAACACAGACTCCAACTCATCTTTCGCTCACGTCAATTGCACAGTCCAAGTTTATTGATTTTAAAGACAAAAATTTGACCGAAAAGTTAATTAAATTAGTACCACGCATGTGACTTGGGTATGAGATGGGTTGGTGAGGGAAGTTTTAAGAATCTAAGAGATGAGAAATATCAATTTTCTAAACAAAGTAACGTAAATGTCTTAGTAAGAGCATCTCCAACCATGCTTGTTATTTTAATTTGTTATTTTTACATTATAGCAAGTGAATAGTGATATAGCAAGCACTTTTTTGCTTTATTCTCCAACCATAATTTGTCATTTTAATTTTTAAGTATTGACTAGTTAAATTTTGAGGAACTTATCATATTTAGCAAACCAAAGTTATTTTTTGGCAAACTAGCTAAAATAAAACATGCCCTTTGGAGAAGAACAAAAATGTTTAACTAGTTATATTATAACTTTTAGCTAGTTAAAATGATATGGTTGGAGATGCTCTAATGAGTCTCCTCTAGAGCACTCACCTAGCCTAATAGAAAAAGTGTGTTGGATGTTTGTGTTAGGTCGTTGTTAATTGTCCAAAATTTCAACCGCTTCCACTTGAAATCACTCGCCAAAATTGCAGTCTCTCACCGCCACCGCTGCCTCCATTTTCCGTGTAAGTTCCTCAGTCATACCGCCATTGCCATGACCACAAAATCCGCCCTAAAAATCGTCTGGTTCTCTTTCCAAACGTAATTGAAATTCGTAGAACTCACGATCCGAGTCGGTTTATCACTGAGTCTAGATCTGTTGGAAGCTTAATCTTCGGCGACGCTTCTGCCTCGATCTTCAATCTCTCGACTCCGGATGGCAATGTCCGACGCGATCGATCGATTTGAGATTCTCAGTGAGTGCACCCTCATGTAATTTGCATACTCATACACTGAAATATAGTTTGTGGTTCCTGTAGATTCTCGTGCCTCGCTAAAATCCTCTCTTCCGTTTGATGCTAAAGCTCCAATTTTGCGGGCGATTTGCAGTTTTTTCTGAATTTTCAATGCTTTACGATTATAATGCGATTCTCCTGAATTTGAATTTCTGAGGTTTAGTAGGCTCTGCTTTCTTTACAAAAATAACCAGTTATGGAGTGTTCGCGTTACCATTTGAGATATGTAGATGTGTGCTATTCTATGGATCGTTGCAATATTATTGATGATTGTGAATAACTTGATTTAAGAATTTGGACTTATAAGTGTAAAACTGAAACTTTTCACTCTCTACCGTTTTGTTACACAAAAAAGTGATTGTTTTTCTTCAGAACAAGATCTTATGCTCTACATATGCTTTGAACTTTCCATTTTGTGTTAGGTATGAATGTTTCCTAGTTATGACTACATTTTGATAAGGTGTTTTATGCTAATTTTCAGGCATCGAGGGTTCACAGAGCAGTAATGGAGGAAATGAAAATGAATCAGATTTCAAAATCTCAGAGGAGGAGGAGGAGAAGAAGAGTAGAGTTGGGATGTTGAAGACAAAGGCAAACAAAGTGAGGAATTCCTTCAAGAATAAAAGCAAGATAAGAAGTGATTTTGCTTCCACAGATGATGGCCGGGAAGCCAAATTAGCGTTGGCTGTTGATACTTTTAGAGAAATTCTTACCACTGAGGGTCTTCTTCCTGTAAGGCATGATGATTATCATGAATTGTTGAGGTAAAAAGCACTACCAATATATATATATATGTATGTATGTATGTATACACACACACACATATATATTTGTGTGTGTGTGTGTGTACTTCCATTTGCTCTATATATAGTAGCTATATAGTTATAATTAATATGTGTTTGTAAGCAACTCTTCCTCCTTCCCCTGCTTCTAAACAAGTTTACTTGCAGATTTTTGAAAGCCAGAAGGTTTGACATTGACAAGGCTAAGAAAATGTGGCAGAACATGCTTCAGTGGAGGAGAGATTTTGGGGCTGACACTATCATGGAGGTAATTATGACATTTTGGCCTTTGTGGGATATGGCCTGTTTGTATATAAACTCATCTAGATGTTTATAAAAGAAACCTATCTACCTTGCCTCTCCTCTTCTAATTCATTTTTCCCCTCAGGATTTTGTTTTCAACGAAAGAAATGAAGTGCTGCAATACTACCCCCAAGGATATCATGGTGTAGATAAGTTGGGGAGACCAATATATATAGAAAGAATAGGAAAACTCAAGCTGGACAAAGTCTTAGGGGTGACCACTCTTGATAGGTACATTAAATACCATGTCCAGGAATTTGAGAAGTCCCTAAGTGTTAGGTTTCTTGCCTGCTCAAGAGCTGCAAAAAGGCATATAGATACATGCCTTACAATTTTAGATGTTGAAGGAGTGGTATGTTACTCTTTTTCTTGCTGACTCATTTGTTTATTTAAATATACTGTATCACTTTTTTAATTACTGCTACTTTAAGGTCGTTGTTTAATTTTGTGTATCCAGACATTGACGAATTTGACCAAACCTGTTCGAGATGTTATCATGCAATTGCAGAAGATTGATAATGACATCTATCCAGAAGTACATCTCTAATCATGTCACTGGTTTAATTAACTTGATAATAACATCCATTTTCCTTTATGCTGAACATAGTCTTCACATGTAATAATCTCTGAGTTGAAATGTCCTAATTTGCAGACACTGGGCCAAATGTTCATATTAAATGCTGGTCCTGGGTTTAGGCTCATCTGGAATGTACTCAAGCCTTTTCTCGACCCGGATACTACTTCCAAGATTCATGTATGTTGTTAGCTCCATTTGTTTACATGAAAATATTTCCTGGCTAAACTTTATTTGATTCATGTGCTTGACGCCTTGACACATGAATACATTTTGCTAGAAATTGGTATGTTTGGATCTCAGAAGATGCTAGGGAAGGGAACAAAATTGCTAAGGAAAATCATTTTATCGTGCTTAGATTTGGAATATATTCAGAAAATTAAATGCCATTAGTTTGTTAACTTTTTAAATGTGGTTGGTAGTTTTTTTAGAATATAAATAAATAAATAAAATTTGTTTGAACTAGTATAAAAACTAACACTATGTTTGGTTTAAGAAATTCGGAAGGAAAAGAAAAGAAAATTGTTTTCCCTCAGTTTCCTCACTAAAATGGAAGGAATTTAGTTTTCCATCCTCTTAGTACATTTTGCCTTCTCATTTCCTTTTCCTTCCACTTTTCTTTTCTTTTCCTCTCTAACCAAACAAGAAAAATGTTTTCTTTCTCAATTTCATTTCCTTTTCCTCTCAAATTCCTTGAACCAAACATAGTGTAAATTAATTGAGGATGATTTAATGCATTTCTCCCTATTTCCTACCCCTAACTGGCATATTTTGAGTTCCAAACGGATCCTTAGACTCTAAGAAATTATTTAGGGTCTGTTTGGATCTTTCAGTCTCAATAAATTTAGATTTTCTATTTGATATCTCTATTCTCTATAGCAGTCATTTTATTTAATTATTTCATTTTAAGTAAAGGCTAAAAAAGTCTCTGCTGCAGATTCAGATTGTCATTGTTTTAGAATTTTGACAGTTCTACCTAGTATTGCATTGTATAGTTTCCGAGAAGAAAAAAAGGATCAAATAAGCTGCATATATGATAAAATATTTCAGACTGACTTCTGTGGACAATGACCTTGACTTACACTGTTTTATGTTATCCATTTTCTTTGGATGAAACGTATATGGAGTATTATGCACTCAACAACAAATTTTTTCCACAAGTTATTGTCGTTGCTTAGAGATCATGCCTATATAACCTATTCAAATTCTGCAGGTTCTTGGCAGCTGCTACAAGCGCAAGTTGCTTGAAGTCATTGATGAAGGGTAATTTGTTCATTCTTTAAATTTAACCAATTCGTTGGTGTGCGTGGGAGGGTGTGGGTGGGGTAGGGGTGTTTGAGTAATCGAGTCGTTTGACCTCTGAACAGTATTGAGTCGTAATTCATTTTCAGGGAACTGCCGGAGTTCTTAGGCGGTAGCTGCACTTGTGCAGAGGAAGGAGGTTGTTTAAGATCAAACAAAGGGCCATGGAAAGCTCAAACCGCATCACAGTGCTGATACTTGGGAACCTCAAGGTCTACAACTACAGAAGACATGTATTTCTTCTAACTACTTGGATCTTACATGTGAGGATAAATATCACTACGCACACAACGTTGTAACGGGAATTATGGGATAATAAGGTAATACGTAAAAACTTTGTTCATAACCAGCATAAACTTTTATGTCATCTTCTCGGGCATCAATGTTTAAAGCCCATGCAGGAACACGCACAAATGCGTAGTACTACGTATTTATTCATATTTCACGAACCACATGCGTTAGTGAGTGCCTCGACCATGATGTCAAAGGGAGTAATGATTAGATTTGGCAACCGGGTTACCCCGTTTGATTCTTACACGGAAATTTTAGTTTGCTTACATAGTTATTTGAATGATCATTAAATTGATTGATTTTTTTAACACTTGATATTTTTTAATTTTTCGAGCATCCAACTTTAGAATTTTAACCGAAAACAACATGACCTAAATGTGATCTAACATTAATCTTTCTTTGCCTTTTAACTTCTAGATAAGTACTTCTTCCATTTCAGAAAAGAGTTCCCGTTTGGCAAACTTTAGATGACTGTATTTTTACTAGTTGACTTTTCATTTTTTTTCTTGGTTGTGTACTTGAGTAAAATACAAGTAAGATGTGATGGATATGATAATATGAATACCATAGTTCGCATGACATTGAAAATCAATGTCATGGGATGACCCGAGGCCCTTATGGTACTTTGTTTGAAAATTGATGGTTTATACCCCTCCTAACCTCCAACTTGGCCCGACCCGAACCCACACCCCCTTCAGTTTTACGTCATAAAATGTAGTTGACTTTGGAGTCAAATTTTGACTCCAAAACCAACTACATCTTGTGGGGTGCAATTGACGGGGGATGAGGGTGGGTTCGGGTCGGGCCGAGTTAGGAGGGTTTATTGGGGGTTGTGAGGTAGGAAATATCAATTTTCGAACGGAACACTGTAAGGATTCAAAATAAAGCCCATGTCATGGATGACATGTGTGTTAATGTCATTGTAACCTTGCCCTAATATGAAATAATTAGTAGGGATAAACGGAACTCTTTGATAAAAAACACTAAAGTGTTGTGTGGGTAGAGTAAAAAGTGAAAGACAAATTGTTTAGTGAAACATATAGAATATTTTTTGTGTTGAAGTATATTTGTTATATTTGAGTTTTTAAGTTTAAATTGCACTCTCTCCGTCTCAAATTAAATTGTGTGTTTAATATTTACACGGTCAAACTTCATTTATTTTCTTTCCTTATTTTCGTTAGTCATTTAATAAAATAATATAGTCATGTTACTACTAGTTTGTAGATCTTTTGATGTAGTTTTCACATGTATAATTTTTATTTTTAATTATACACCATTTTCTGTATAAATGATTTGAAAATAACTTCAATCATACATCATAAATCAAAACGGATTACTCCGTATTTAAATTGGGACATAAAGAGTATAAAATTAGACCTTGTAGTAATAGTTTACTAACAATATAAGAGAACATGTTTCTTAAGTTAAATTGAGAAGAAAATATAAAGAATATTTACACTATGTTTGGTTCATAGAATTTAAAAGAGAATAAAAGAAAAGAGATGTAAAATAGTCTATGTTAGGGAGTATTTAGTTTAGAAGGGAAAAAATGAAAAGTGAAATGAAAAGTATTTGATACGGCAAAAAATACAAATAAGAAGGAAAATCAAATTCCTTTCGTTTTGGTTAGGAAATTAAGAGAAACTCATTTTCACTATCTTTTCCATCTAAATTCTTTGAACCTAGTATTAAGGAATGAAAATTAAAGAGGGTAAATATTGGGTCAAACATTATAACAGGAAATCAGACCTCTAAACAACTAGTCGTATGTACTTAAAATTAAGCTACAAAAGATTCTAATCAAGTTTCCTTCTGCAAATTTGGTATTCTTTTGGTGGATTATTATGAAACGGAATGACAAATGAGAAATGAGTCTGAACTGTTTTTTTAGTTCGTTCAGTAGTTCCAAAATTAACTCATATTTTCTTATGATCGAAAATACTGGCTTGAAACTCAAAAACAAAACCTTAGGGTATGACTTTCACTAATATAAAATTTAAGTAAGTAAAAAGATTGTAAATTTTAAAAAGTGCAGTTGAAATTTATTTTGATAAAAAATGTGCCTGTGTCACATATTCATCGATTTGTTTGAAAAAAACATAAACTAAACTAGATTTTTTTTATTTTCTAACATCTAGACAAAGTACAAAGACTTCTATGTATGCAAAAGAGAGCTGAGGGTGGATTTTCAACAATAAAATAAAGCAAACCAGCACAAAGGAAAAAAACATATAACCTTAAATAAAAAGCTACATCTAAATTGCATTATTACGAGTTTATAATGATATAAGGGTCCTCCAATTCAAGAAGAGTCCCCTTTTGTGTCATACAAACTTTTACTTTTCTTGACTATAAGAAAATGGAGTGCACCTACGTTAAATCATTGTACCGTTGCGAGACAAAAAACAGCTTCACGATACAATGTTAACACGTATGGCACTCACTAATTACGTGTGCTTAATTACTCTTAAGGCCTAATATCGGTAGAGCATTGTTGAAACGAGAAAACAAAAAGGAACAAGGGATGGCTGCAGGTGGTTGCTTGGAGGTGACAATCAGTTTATGCAACTCCAAGGCAACTTCATTGGCTTCTTTCTCCCCGTTGTCCCTCATTTTCTCGCTTACTTTTTTGGCTCTTTCCCTCACAATGTGCCCTTCTTTCTCGAGCACGACGCGGTTGATCACGCTCGCAATGGTCTCGGGGTGAAGGAGACCGTCTCGGTCCCTGACCGCCTCCTCCCCCACCCCGAGCTCAGAAACCAGCCGAGCGTTGATCGGCTGGTCAAGGTGCATTGGGATGGCAATGAATGGGACGCCGAGTTTCATCCCTTCCATCACCGAGTTCCATCCGCAGTGGCTCACGAACCCTCCGATGCTCGGGTGGGCCAATATGTTGGCTTGCGGGGCCCACCCATCCACCACCATTCCACGACCCCTCACGCCCTCCAAGAAACCCTCTGGCATCGCCTCTTCCAGGTTGACCTTTTTGCCCTTGGGAAACCTCACCACCCATATGAAGTTCACCCGGCTCGTCTCGAGCCCGCGTGCAATGCAGTGCGTGTCTTCCTCCGAAAGGAAATACTCGCTCCCGAAGGACACGAAAACGGTGGACCCTTTTTCCTTACTGTTCAAGAACGCAATGAAAGGGTCGTTGTCTTCAACGGCCCCTCCAGCTTCTTGAACCAATGGACCCACGGGGAGAATTCTCTTCCCGGTCAACTCCGACAAGTACTGAAAGTACTTGTCCTCCGCCTCCCGAAAACCCTTGACCAACACGAGATTCGAAGACCGGCCGAAACACGCCCTGACGCACGCCTTGTCCTTCCTCTCTTGCTCCTCGTACGACGCCGACTTCTCCGCCGCCTTCACCTCGTACGGCCGGTAGTAAATGGAGTCGAAGGGGAAGGCCGCGCCCGGCCTCTTGTCCATGTGGACCACGTGGGAGAACATGGTGGCGCTGCTCGTGACGAACAGCACCGCCGGAATGCCGAGCACCGCCGCGGCCGCCGCGGCCCACGGCTGGAGCAAGTCGTAGACGAGCAGGTCGGGGCGGTGGGACTCCAGGATGGCGAGGAAGTTGGAGGAAGACATGTTGAAGGCCTTCTTGAGGGCGGGCATGAGGTGCGGCGGGAGTCCGTTGGTGGTGTGGAGCGGCGGCGGGAGGCCGGGGAGGCTGGGGAGGTGGAGCTCAACGAGGTGAATGGATTTGTCGGCCTCCGGTTCACGGGCGAGTTTGGACCGGATGGAGGAGAAGTTTGCAGGGGTGGAGCAAAGGATGATGTCAAAACCTCTTTTGGTGAGCTTTTCAGAGAGCTCCATGAATGGGGAAATATGGCCATGTCCCAACCATGGGAACATGAGAGCACAAGGCTTCTTCTTCTTCATCTTCATCATCATCATGGAATCCATATGGCCACTCAAATGATGAAATCTTCTTCTTCCAAGCAGTTTATGTGAGGGGAATTGAAGGATTAGTGTAAATACTCTTCTGCAATTTATGCATGATGATAGGATATGGTAGGGTGATGTTTATAGCGTAAGTATGTTAGGTTAAATATGGTAAGTTTTTGGGGTGTATAAATGATTATATTTGGCATGTCGTATATATGGAAATTAAATTCTAGACAAGATATTTTTATTGATTATATTCGTCCTAATTGATCACTATAGAACAATTGAAAATTTTTATCATTATTTAACAAAAATAAAAACTCCCACTGTTTTGTCCAATAAAAAAATTGAAGAGTTTGCCTTCACATTTATTTAGAAATGTGTATTACTCCCTCCGTTCCATGATCGAAACCTTTCTCCTTTTTTTTATCCGTCCCACAAAACACTTCTCATTTTTATTAAAAAGTTACTTTTACCACTTAATTTTTCATACTCTAACTATCACATCATACCTTTTTACTAATAATCTATCCATCAAATCATACTTTTACCCATCACACCAAAGAACATTTTTTGGAAATTCAATACCAAAATACACTCCCCTTAAATCCCTTCTAAAAAGCAAAAGTCTCATGTTTCATGGGAAGGAGAGAGTATTATACTTCTCGCTAAACAAATGTTTCTACTTTAAATTTTAATTTCATCTTTTCTAGAAAATACTTTTATTTTAAAATATTAACTTACTTAATTATCACATGATATCTTTGGATATTAATGTAGCTATCATATTCTATCTTATCTTACTCGCCTTGAAATAAGAGCAACATTGAAAACTAACACCAAAATTGAGTTTTTCTTGAGTCAAACCTTATTCAAAAAAGAAAAGATTTTGTGGGATGGGGCTAGTAGTTACTAGTGCTAAGAAAATAGGGAGTACTATTTTTGCTAACAGATCATAAATTGTAAGTGAAACTGGAAACTTACTGGGCTAATTAAATAAAAAAAAGTTTCAAATTTTAAAGTTTCAAATTTTTATTATTAAAATAAGACTATTCCAATATAATAATGTGACACTATATAACCTCATTTTACAGCATTTTTTGTATTATATGTTAGACATAAAGATTTTATTTAAATTTTTTTCTTATGTTTGGCTTCTATTTTAGCAGTTGGGTTCGGTGGTCACTGTATTTCAGTGATCCACGGAAGCCACTGTCCCCTACGATGCTCTGTTCGTAAAATTTATGATTTTTACCCCTCCTAACACCCGCTATAAACCCTTTGTCTAGTCCTGACCCCAACTCATCCTCCCACCTACGTTAATTGCACCCCGCAAGTATATTTGAGTTTAAAGTCTACAATTTTGATCGACATCAAAGTCAACTAATTAAATTTATAGGGTCCAATTGACGTAGGTGGCGGATGAGTTGGGGTCGAGACTGGGCAGATGGGTTTACTAGGGGAGTTGGGAGGGTGGGAATCATTAATTTTACGAATATAGCATCGTGGGTGTCTGAATCGGGACAGTGACTTCTGTAGCCACGGAACCCGCTATTTTAGTACTCGTATTTTTTTTCTATTTGGGATATGGGAATAACTATAGTGATTGATCTTTGTTTATTGTTACTTATTACTCTTTAGATTAAATGTTGAACTCTCACCATACTTTGAAAGACAAATTCTTTTGTAGACTTAACTTCTATACTCTCTCCGTCCCGGAAAACATGAGAGTTTTAGTTTTGGAGAGGGATTTAAGGGGAGTATATTTTGGTATTGAATTTCCAAAAATGTTCTTTGATGTGAATCATGTGATAGGTAAAAGTATGATTTGATGGATAGATTATTAGTAAAAAGGTATGATGTGATAGGTAAGATATGAAAAAGTAAGGGGTAAAAGTGATTTCTTAATAGAAATGAGAAGTGTTTTTTGGGACGGATGAAAAAAGAAAAAAGAAAGGTTTTCTGGGACGGATGGAGTACTTATTTTATGCAGCTTAGTGCATTCGTAACATAAAAGAAGTGACCTTTTACAAAAGAGAAAATATCCACATACAAATCATAAAAAATGTGTGAAGGTCTAAATTATAAATATGGAGTTAGAGATCATATAAGCATTACTCAATTTTGAAATCTCTAATTTATGGATTATGGTTTTTCGTATCCAAATAATAAGCCGCATTTTAATTTAAGAACCTCAGTTTTATTTTTATTATTCTTTTATTTTTGAAAATAAGCAAAGGAATGGTACACATTTTTGCATACAAGGAAAATAATTAAGACCAGTAAATTATTTTATCCCAAAAAAGCACTGTGCTTGTTACGCAGTAAAAATTTACCTGCATGTCATATTATGAGAATCCTAAACCCCCAAAATAACAACCGTCGAATCAAAATATATACGAGTGTTTAATGCGCTTAAATCACTTTTTTATATAGAAACATTCTTCTTTAGTCACTTTTATTTGGGACTAATATTCGTAAATCTAATTGACCTTGAGATCACGAACGTAAAGCGCAAAAATCTTCGGATGATTAATTATTGGATTATTATTAGGATATTATACATTCCAAGATTCAAGAAACTTACCATAATTTTCACAACATTCCATATCGAATTGCATCGATCACAGTTAAATGATAGAGAATTTTTACGAAATAGAATAACGGTTAACGGAAAATCATTAATATATGGTTAATTGCGTTAACTTTGACTTATTAAATCTGAAAAATTGACAACTGAAATTTTGAATTTGAAATCTAATAACGTCTGAAAAATGCTCTGGAATATAGCGTCTCGATTCAATAAGAGCATCTCCAATCTTATCAATATGGCATGCTAAAACTTATATAATAGCAAGTGAGGCTATGTTTTCAATCTCCAAGGGATGTGGTATATTATAGCACACTAGTCAAAAAGTAAAATTGACTTGCTAAACATAGCAAGCCACCCAAATAATAGCAAGCCAAAAAAATTAATAAAAAATTAAATCAAAGGTCCAAAAAAGTAATCTCATCATGAGAATAGAGAGAGACACTAGAAAAATCCATTCTTGGTTAAAATTTAGCAAGCATGGTTGGAGAATGGAGGAAAAAACTACTTGCCATATTACTATTCACTAGCTAAAATTTAACAATAACAATTTAATATAGCAAGCATGGTTGGAGATGCTCTAATAGACCTCATAAAGACTAAGATAATTTTTTGTTAAAAAAAAGTAATTTAAATTTCAAAAGTATATGTTCAAAACTTAATCAAAATAAAAAAAAAATCTTTCCTCTCTTTCTCTCTTCCCTCTATTATCTCGCTATTTTCTAGACATGTAGTTAGGGGAATAGGTAGATCAAGAGGACTTCATCGACTAGGAGTGATCCATGTAGCCGATCCTATCTATTGAGATAATGCTTTGTTATTGTTTCTTCTTCTTTTCTTTCTTTTTTTCTCTCCTTTCTTTTCGTTTTTTCTGAGACAAATTCTTCCGTAAACCTAATGTATGTACATGTTCAATTTATGGACCTTAGTATATTTGTAGCATAAAATTAAAGAAGTGGATCATTTACAAAATAGAAAGTATCCACATGTAAGCCTATGAAAAATGTAAGAAAGTACACATTTCTAGGACCATGTAAATATCTCTCTTTTCTTGGTGCAAAAAAGTTCCCCCATAACATTTTCTCTACATCTTTCCTCTTCAACATATAATCACTCCCCCCGTTCCCCCTATTCCACATCATCTTTTCTCAAACATTTCTCTAATAAGTCCATAACTATTTGTCTAGATTTAAATTTTTGCAATCAATCATTTTGAACTTTGGCTTTGAATGCAATAAAAATTATGTGGCATATAATTTAGAAAAAAATATTTTGATTTTTTTATAAAATAAATGTATTAAATTTATTTTTTGAATTAATATCTAATACTCAGTACCAATTTTATTTGATTAGTGGTCAAAGTTTATCATTATTAATTATAAAAAATTAAAACTAGACAAATACTCAGAAACGAAAATAATATAAAATTGAAAAGGAAAAACTCATAACCAAAATTTGTTTAGTCCAAATTAAACTTCAAGTTGTAATTTTTTTTACTTTGTTATACATAATGTTCCTTCTTGAATCTCTTCCACTCCCTAGAATTCAATAGAAAATTCACCCAGGATCGAGTCTCAATGAAGGCGGAGGCATTGATTTTTTGTGCATCATTAGATGAAAATAATAATATGAACAGATATTACATTGTAACAGAGTAAATATCATTCAGAGCAGTGGAAATGGTAGTGACACCCACCGTCGTTAAGGGGCGTTTAAAGCCATGGGGGTGTCAAACACCGCCCTTTCACCGTTATTCGGGCGTCAAGCCCGTTGCGTTAAACGTTTGACGCAGCGTCGCAGCACAGCACGCGACTATTCTCCCCCCCATCCCCAACGGTTCAAATCATGGTCATTTGCATTAAAAAAAATAACTCTCAATACTTTAAATGCCCCTTTTTATTTATGTTATTATTCAAATCTTTATTTATTAATGCAATTTTTTAATGTAATTTTTTTACTTAATGAATTATTATTGTTAAGATTCAATTAGTTAATGAAATCTTATTATTTTAATTTTACAAAATATGTATTCAAAATGTAAAAAATAAAGGTTTGAAGTCTTGAGGCTTCAATTTCATTACCAGGAAAACTGTGATGTAAGTTTAAGCTGATATGGTATTTTTAGTGCTTTCCCAAATTCCATCCAAATTCCCAAATTCCATCCAAATTTCAAAGTAACAAATTAAAGGACTCAAATGCGACTTTATGCCCCAATGAAAGGCAGTGTTATTAAGTCCAGACGGGAACTCTATGCTCCATTACCATACCCAATATTTACAAAGGTTTCAAATTAGAACACGTTTTAAAGGTGGTAAATCTAATTTCTCCCTCCGTCACTGGCGTTAATTAGTTAGTCGACATCTTCCGAGGTTGCTAGTGGCGGGCGGCGGCCATTCGAATCCAACTTCCGCCGCCGATCATGTGGGTGGTCAAGAATGGGGCGGCTTCTTCACTCGACAGGCTGCGTGACCAATTCACTCGCCCTCTTCTCTTTGCCCCTGCCCCATAACACTTGTATTCCCCATAGTACACCGTCCTGCAACTCAATTCAATCCAATTCAATTCGACATTTCACGTATAGATTACGTAAAAACCTTGTTCTAATTAAGTAGGGTACATATACCTTTGTTTGGAGAGGTCATTCCAATTGTCCCATCCTTGAGGTAGAACAACGTTGGACATGTTGGTTAGGGCAAAAATGACCCTAGAATAAGCACCCCATGGTCTTCCGAGAAACGCGGTCTTGGTGCCAGTTATGGTGCACCCCACAAAGGCAAACCCCGTCGCTTCCCACCGCGAACCCCTTCGCTGCGCCGTTATCGCCCCATTCCCCTCCGACACCGAGTGCAAGTGACACTTCTGCATTCCCAGAAATTTAATCAAATATTACGAGTACGAAAAATTGAAAATGATGAAATTGAAACGTGCCTCGAATAGAGAAGCTGCATTCCCACAAATGAAATCAGTGTCACCCTGGATGTAACAATTTTTGTAGTAGTGTCTCCCCCTATCATCCAATAAAGTATCTTGATGGGATAGTATTCTACACCCAAACAATGCCACTCTATCCGCGCAAACCCTCATCGCCACTGCTTTCGCTCCAGGGCCGTGTGTGTTCTGTTCTCAATATAATTAGCGTTATAAAAACCACCTTAAATAGAAGTAAACTATAAGATACTAAATATGGATATTTCAGAATATTTTTTAGTACTCCGTATATATTACTTCCTCCGTCCTATATCTTTCTTCTCGTTTCGCAAAACGAAGAAAAATCTCAAGTTTTTTTCAATCTATTTTATTTAAATATTAGTATAGAAATAAAAAATAAAATATACATATTTAAAAACTACATCAAAAGTTCCACAAAACAAGTGGTGACAAGAATATTTTATTTTATCATATAGGCCATGAAAAAACACAAATAAATATAAATTTCCGTGAAGTTGGAATAGTGCTCTAGGAAGAAAGTTTTAGGACGGAGGGAGTAACATGATTGACATTGCATATGAATTTCAACTTTTATTTTGAAAATAAAAATAAGGAACTCCTATTTGCATATGAAAGAGTTTCCCTTATTGACTTTTTGGGAAATTAAGAAAATGATATTTTTGTGTTGACTTTTCATTAATACCCTTGATGTGATGGACAAGAGTAAGATGTGATGTGTAGATTATTAGGTAAAAAGGGGTAAAAGTGATTTTTTAATACAGATAAGAAAACATGTTTTGGAGACAACAATAAAATTAAAGGGTAAGATCTTTTAGAGACGGAGGAAATATCTTCTATCTTTAAATCTTACTTTACTCTATTTACTTAGCGTTATTATTTTGGATAAAATATTATGGTTAATTATATTTGGAGTAATATTTTCAGAATATGAAAGCAAAACGGTGAAACTATATTTCCAAGGAGGGGAGGTAAATATTTACCTGAATGGTGAGATATAGAGCGGTGAAATCAGAAGCGAAAATGGTGAGAGTGGGAGAGAAAAAAATGTCGCCATAATCGGCCCACGTAATGACCGTGGCGCTACCGTTCCCTTTGTTCCCGCTCAAAGTTATGAAGGGCTTGTCCGCCGGAACCACCACCTTCTCGCGGTAAACTCCGGGAGCCACCGATATGAGCACGCGCCGGGAGTTGTTGGAAGGCACCGAGTCAATGGCGTCTTGTATTTTCCGGTGATGAACATGAACTCCTCCTCCTCCACCACCAGATTGGTCTACTCTAATGAGAACCACGGCGGCGTCTGAAGCGGCCAACCAAACACAAACCATAATGACAAGTGCTTTTAGCATAGAAACAACCCTAAAACTATTAATAATATTAATTGCAGTCATGGTAAAACTGGGTTTTTAATTTGATACTGGCCGGGGAAAGAATGCAATTAATAAGGTAGCAGTTGAGCAGAGGGGGTGGGGGTGAAATTAAATTGTCAAAATGATGATTAAAGGTGCAAAATATTCAAAGCTAGGAATATGATTATAATAATGATGATGCCATGCAAGTAGGGGTAGGCGGCCATTCCTAATACAAAGAATGATATGTTCATATATATATATATATATATATATATATATATATATATATATATATATATATATATATATATATATATATATATATATATATATATGGAATTATGGATCAGCAGCCCATATGTGCATTGCAATATTAAGTAAAAGTCATGAAGCATATAAAAAAAGACGGTTGCATCACTTTAGGAAAAACAAGCCAAGTCTGAGATCGACGTGAATAATAATTACGTATGGCACTTATATTTAGTGATCCGGAATTTATATATTTACAGAATAAATGAATTGAATTTTAATATCATTTGATTCATTTTAAAACATAGTCAAAATGTTACATTGGAGATCGTGAAAATTCAAATGAGACGTTACTTTTAAGACGGATGGAGTATTAATTATTGGATCATCTATTTCAACTGCTACAAATACCCATATATATGCATATGTCACTATTCTAGTTCATTTCATAATGAATTATATTGGCTATACATTTTTTAGCTCAAGGTCAATTAAATAAATGACTCATAGTTAATACAGAGAAAAACGAAATAATTTGAATTACTACGTATTTCTTTCTTAGATTAGAATGAAAATAACTTTTCAAAAAAACTGAAAATGAGAACAAGAAGTTTTTTTAGAGCCGGAAGAATAATTATTTAAGTAGAAATACCCAATGGTAACTCCCCTCTAAATCTCTAATAACACAACTACTTTGCCACTACCTAAGTGTTGGCAACACACTAACCACGATTTCCTGGCGAATTAATTAGGTGAAGACCAGTTTGTGAATCATAAATACTCCCTATCTTCTTTCCAACAACAAACAAAATCTCGTTTTCTTAAAAAAATGACTTTATTTAGAAATTGGTATATAAATAAAAAAATATTTTAATTTATATATTTCAAAATTACATGAAAAATACTCTCTCCGTCCCAGAGTATCTGTCCAGTTTGACTTTTTCGAGTCAAACTGGATAAACTTTAAGTTTCAATTAAATAAAAATCGTAAAGTATTTTAATCTAAAAATGAATTTATTAGATTTATCGTATTAAGAACTTTTAAAATTGTATTTCATTACGCTAATATGTAATATAAATTGAGAGTAATTGGAGTTCAAAATTTGTCCAGTTTGACTCGAAAAAATCAAACTGGACAAATACTCTGGGACAGAGGTAGTTAGTAACACGACAATTCTATTTTATACTAAGGTCATTGGCTTTCCACCTGATCTGAATAGTTCTCATCCGATTGAAATAACTTCTGATCTGGTCTAATCTGATTCTAATAAAAAAAATTATAAACAATAAAAATAAGTTAAAGAGAGCTTCTACAAAGTTTAAACATTTTGTTTACGTGACTGATTTTGCAATTTTCTTGAGGATTACCGTCAAGCCTTAGATCCAATCAAAGGCCCAAATACTCATCCGGCCCACAACCCTAAAGAACGCATACATGTAATCCGGCAGGGCCCGTAAAATGTTGCACCAACAGCATTGCCATTTTGATATAGTTTTTTTTTGGTGTTGTTGAAAGGAATTCATTTTTCTTCTTGGAAAATTTACAATATTTTTATTGGGTGAGGAATACATGACACAAAATGATTTTCTATTTTCTAAACAATTCAAACTTTATTCAAACTCCTCAAATTTTATTTTATACTTGCTTCGTTTCAGATTACTTGATATTTTAAAAGAGAATTTTCTTTTATATTTGTCCCAATTTTTTTTTAACTATGGACTACTTCTTTACTTTTCTTCTAATAAAAATCTTCATTTTTTTAAATTACGTGAAATCCAAGTGTTTAAATTAAATAAAGACCGAACATAATAGTTGCTTAAAGCCTTCATATATGAATGACAGTTTTCTCAACATCATGTATAAAGAAAGATGTTGGAATAAACGAAATTTTTAAAATAAATTTCCAACAATTGTTGGAGTACTATTGTTTGCTCTGTTGAAAATTAGAAATTATACTTTAAATTGACATCATTCATTGAGTTCAAGTTTGACACCACATCATTACATATTTACACACACGTACACATATTCAAATGGACCATGCTAGGGTGCCACCACATGAGTGCTACCATAGGTGCACCCATGCTTCGCACAGACAAACACAGGCGATAATTGTCTGTGCGACACAGACAATTATCATCTGTGTTTGTCTGTGCGAAGCATGGGTGCACCCATGTGGTGGTATCCTAGCATTTTTCTATTCAAATTGTATGTGTGTATAATCTAGAAACCAATTAATAATGTTAGCCTTGGTGTTATAGACGGTGCCACTTAAGCCAGCCAATCTCTTTTAAATTAGGACACACATAACTGACTAGATTTAGTTCAGTAAAGCTCGAAAAATCATGAAATGTACAACCAATCAATATTAAGCAAGTTTCAACAAGAAACAAAGGAAAAAAGATGCACAACCCCGAGGCTTCACATCAAACTAATATTTTAAAGAGTAATTTACATAAATAACACTAAAACATAATGACTTTCTCTAAATAGCACTACATATGTTTTCTTTCCAATGTAGCACTTTTAGTCATTATGCATTAATCATTATTCAAGCAAAATTTCGCCATCACTGGACATTATGGACATTATAAGTGCTATTTAGAGAATAAAACAGTTTAAGTGCTATTTAGGGAAATGACTTAAGTTTTAGTGCTATTTAGTGCAAATATTTCTATTTTAAATGATGATAAAATGAGTTGGATAGCTTTAAAATACTGGCTTTTGAGCTATGTATTTAAAATAAACATTTTTATACAAACCAAATCACTCCCTAAATCCTCATTGTATCATTGAACGAAATAACGAAAATACTACTCCCAAGTCCCAACTCCACCTTCCCAAACAAGGTTCATATTTGACTTTTTTCATGTTCTTCAAATACTACTTAGGCAGCGTCCCTTCTACTTATTTTTTCTGCTTATTACTTATTATTATTAAAATCAGATTTGACCATCAGGTCATATCCAATCAGATCAAATCAAAAAAGATCTAAACAAAATTAATATTATTATTTTTATCATTATTATTACTATTACTATTATTACCACTATTATTAGTATAATTATTACTATTACTGTTAATATTATGATTATAATTATTATTAGCATTGTTGTTGTTGTTTTTATTATTACTATTAATATTAATAATAATATTATTTTTACTATTATTACTATTACTATTATTATTATGACTATAATTAGTATTACTATTGTTATTATAATTATTACTATTTTTATTATTACTACTACTAATATCATTTTTACTATTATTATTATTATTATTAGGATTACTATTATTATTGTTATCATTCTTACTAATATTATTATTAGTATTATTAATATTAATATTTTTATTATTATTATTATTACTATTTCTATTATTATTGTTATTACTATTATTATTAGTATTATTATAGTTATTATTATCACTATTATTACTATTATTATTTCTATTATTATTATTATTACTACTATTATAGTTATCATTATTACTATTCTTATTACTATTACTATTACTATTACTATTGTTATTAATATTATTTTTAATACTATTATTATTATTAATATTTCTTTTATTATTATTATAACTATTATTACTATAATAATAAAAATTTTAATTTTAATTTTTATTTTAATCAATCAGATAAGACCAGATCATATCAGATTAGATCCAATCGCATCAGAACTTAAAAAAATCAGATCAGATGAGATCAGGCAAATGGAACACAACCTTACTCCCTCTATCTGGATTTAAATAACATATTTTGGTTTATGATATTTGACTAAAGCTATTTTCAAATTATTTTGTATGAAAAAAAGTGTAGAATTGAAAAATAAAATTTAGATATTTAAAAACTACATTAAAAGATCTATAAAACTATGGGTGACATGGTTGTATTATTTTATCAAATGACTAACAAAAATAGAGAAAGAAAGTGAACGAAGTGTAAAAAATAATAGTAAAAACACATATATATGAGAAATGAAAAAATTAAATCTGAGCGGTGAAAAAAGGAGCTAGACCTGAGGATTGAAGATCGATTAAATCCAGACGGAGGGAGTAGTACTTTTATCATTAATATCTATATTCATTTACCAGTTTTTTCAAAAAAATCAAGATATTTTAAAGCTATATTTCAAGATAAAATGAAATTGAATATAATTTCATTTGAATTTGTAGTCAAATTTTAAATTTGGCTAAAAATGTGGAAATGAGGACCTGTTTTTTAGATGGATATATGGAGTAAGGTATAAGAGCATTTAGAAAGTGTTTGGCATTTGTATAAGAGAACTACTTTTGAGTTTCTATTTCGTCTAAAAAAGGTTTTGTGTGTTTCAAAAATCTGATTCTTTTTTATGTTTTGTGACTATTGAATTTAAAATGAGCTCCAAAAAGTAATTTTTGAAGAAGTTTAAATTAAAAATTTTAGCTTCGGGGCTATGACTTCTGTTTTTCAAGGAATCTACCGGAACACCAAACATCGTTTTACTCTACAAAGTAGCCTCACAATTTGAGACAAATTAAAGAACGATTGTGTTCAATCATCAAATGCATAATCCTAAAAGACCATTGGCGTTTCAAGGTTTAGGATCACACCCTTGTGATTCAAGACATGTAAAGTTCTAGATGACATTATTATTCCCTTAATCCCTTTGGTATATCATTACTCAAATTTCCAAACAAGGAAATATTGGAATCCATAGGCAAGATAGCATGTCCAATCTTATAGATCAAAAGTGATATTTTGGAGAATACAAAGAAAATGACACAATATAAAGCATCAATCCTAGTACTGTATGTACTTTAAAATTATACTCCGTAATTAATTGAGTACTTGGCAGAGGTTTTCCTTTAATTTAATTCCTTCCAAAAGTATTGTCCTACTTTGGCTTTTGTGGTCACTTTGACTATAAATTGTGAAAAAGGATATTGACAATATATATTTAATATAATTGATTTCATTTAAAATTCTATTTTTTATATCAAATATTTATATTATTTATGTATTGAAAATAGTATTCCTTCCGTTCCATAAAACTCTTCCCTTTTTGTTTTTTTGAATTTCCTAAAATACTTTCACTTTCTATTAGAAAACCACTTTACTCTTACTTTTTCATACTCTACCTATCACATCATATTTTTTCATTAATAACAAAACTATCACATCTTACTTTTACTCATCACATCAGGGGCAAAATTGGAAAGTCAACCAAAATCACACTTTCCTTTTTTGCCCAAAGTCAAAAGTGGAAGGGTTTGAAGGAACGGAAGAAATATTTAATTAGATAAAAAGCCTATAAAATCAAAATAAACGATAATTTTAAGACGAGAGAGTACGTAATCAAGTGTGGTGGTAAATTACTCAAAGCATCTACTTATACCTCATTTAGGCCAGGCTTTAAAATTGGTTGTTGGATGTTAGCGGTGAGCTTTGTGTTTGCTGATTAAATCCCTCAAAAACAGAGTGAGTATATTGTTTCTTTCAGGAAATTTAATTTATCTCTTTTGTTAGTGGTGAAAACTAATTAAAAATTTGTGTTTGTTGTCAATAGTTACGCTAAATATTAAAAAAAAGAAAAAGAAAATCAAACGAAAAGATGGAAGAATATATGTGAATGAGTTTATTTGCGGACTATAATTTCACTGCTCATCTGGCACGTCCCTTTCTTAGCTTAGCTTCCTTCTAGGATTGGATCGGAGGTGGGGATCTAATCCCACCAGCTGGTTATAATATATAATTATATATGTCATAATTTAAAAAAGACAATATATAAAATAAAAGGATCTTATTAGCTCAGGGTATTTTTTAAAGACACCTACTCGAAGTACGGAGTAAAGGAATAAATTAGAAGAGTTTAAATTCAAAAGTACTCCGTATATTTCAAATTAAAACATAAGTTTAAACTTTTGATTAAATTATTCACACAATTACATAAGTTTTAAGGAAGTTTAATTTTGAAACATTTTATAAACATCTAATTTTAAGCTTGAGCTATGAGTTTAAAATTTTAACCAAGTGATCTATACTAGTTTGTCCAAAAGTTTTACCTTGATAGTTACATTTTCATTTATTCTTCTCCACCTCAATATTTTTAAAAAGTAAAAAAAGAAAAGAAAAAGATACGTCCGTACTCCCAATTTGCCGGCTCCAACGTAGAGTACCCCTTCCCTTTCTGCATGTATATAAAGAGCTAGCAAGTTCTCCTTCCATCCTTCCCATAACAATCATCCAGAGATAAACATATATATATATATATATATATATACACCCATCATTATAATCATCATATATCTTCGTCGTCGTCGTCATCATCATCATTGTCATATATCATCACCAGAGATTTGAAACAGAAAATGGGGTCATGGACAGCAAAGCAGAACAAGAAGTTCGAAGAGGCACTGGCGATATACGACAGGGAGACGAGGGACAGATGGGAGCAGATAGCGAGGTTCGTCGGAGGAAAGTCGGTGGAGGAAGTGAAGAGGCATTACGAGGTGCTTGAGAAGGATGTGATGGCCATTGAGAATGGGAGGGTGGCTATGCCAAAGTACAAAACTACCCCTGAATCCTGCACCACCAAGCACCACAAGTAATGGCAAATGAATGGAAATCGTGCGTGCGTGCGTGCGTGCATGCATGCAGGCTTCCGAGGAAATTGGAGATGCGTACGTGGTGAGGAGAGTTGAAGCTTGAGACTATACATGTTTTGTTTGATTATGTTAACCTTAAAATTTTTCAGCATGCCGGAGAACAAAAAATGTCTTATGTGCGTACTAGCTTTATGTGCTTGTTTTCATGCAGTTCTTTGTTAGTTTTACGTTTGCAGTTAGTTGTACGTACCAAATAAGGCAATAAGCAATAATCTAGACATTCCTACTAATAATATGATGACTAGAAAGTAGACCTGACAAAATTTTAATGATATTGGAAAATTGGAAAATTATCTTACTTTTTCCCAAAACTTAAGCATTTTTTAAATTCTTTATATTGATTTATATATCTAAAAATTCCTTTAAAATTTAAAATAAAATAATCTACGGAGTAATAGATTTAATACTTTTTTTGATATTTTAAGTTATTAAATAGAAAATGTAAGTGTTAATGTAAATTTAAAAATTTAAGAAACCAAAGTCATAACTCGTTGGGTCGACCCGAACCCGATGACACTGGGTCATGAACATATAGTTCTCAACCCGAACCCAAATTGACCCGAACCCGAAACCATCCAAACTCGAAGTGACCAAACCCAAACCCGACCTGACCAACCGATTTGCCAGCTCTACTAGCAAGTGAACTAGTTTAACAACAAAATAAGAATTGCGCGAATCTATCACATCCTTATTTGTCCGGTTCTAATTTTTTACAACTAAGTATTTTAGATCTTTGACTACGAATTAAATGGAAACTATATGATATTTTAAAAATAGTATTTTGAAAATATTGTATACCCTCCAGTCCTAAAAATCTTTCATGTTTTGACATTTTTGGTCAAATAGTGACATTTTTTTACCTTAAAATAAACATAATCTAAATAAATAAATGATTTAAAAATTTGATATATCAAACATATATCCTAAGACGAACTCAATTTTATTGAAATTCTATTTTAATCAAATATATTTTTCTCACAATTTATGGTAAATGACTGTTTGATTTTAAAAAAATCAAAATCTGAAAGATTTTTAGGATTTAATTAGTGAAACTACTTTCTTATTATATCTCATAAAAAATTTATTTGATTAATAGTCAAAGTTTTTATTTTTAAACGACAAAAAGTTAAAACTAGACATATACTCCTAACATTTGATGGATCGAATTGAAGAAAAATTGCATGCTAAGGGTTGTGCAGTCATCAAATATTGATGTTCACAGTTTGAAGTACTAAATTGACTCATGACGCACTGCACGAAATTGCCTATATTCTTCATTCTTGTTCGAAATTATTTAATTACAAAAAACAAAACAAAAATCCAAGATAATCACTAATTACCACAGTGCAAATATTATTTTTTAAATTTTCATTACCAGCCCCACGACCTCACCTTTTCCAACTAGTTACTACTCCGGGGTACATATCCTTGCACTTTATTTTAAACTTCTCAACAACCCAAATGCAAATATAGAAAGCCAATATAGTTTTTATTTTTATTTTTTAAATGGGTAATTTACCTAAATATTATTAAAACATAATGATTTTCTCAATATAAGATCATATGTTTTTATTTCCCAATGTAAGATCATTAGTCATTATCAATTAGTCATTATTCAACTAAATGTCCAGCATCACTTTAACATTATTCTTCTTATTAGACATTATTAAGTCATATCTAAGAAATTAAAAAGTTTTTATTTTAGTCCTATTTAATAATGCAAGTTTCATTTCTTAAATTAGGTGTAAAGTCAAACCGAGCATAAATGTTAAATGAGGAAAAAATTAGTTACGGCCACAAGTTATTTATTTACAGAAAGTGGCCCATCATGATATTATTGACGGAGAGAGGAAAAAAGTCGGTGAATTTTCAGCAAGCAACTTAAAAAGAAAAGGAAAAGGTCAGTGGATGGTTTTTTTTTTAACTTTAACGAAAAATAAAATGGAGATGCGGGGTATCGATCCCCGTTCCTCTCGCATGCTAAGCGAGCGCTCTACCATCTGAGCTACATCCCCTTGATCGAAATGATATTTCTTTGTCTTTTTATATCCCAGTACTTTGCGATTCAAGTGCATGCAACTTCACCAAATGTCTCCTTTCTTGATTACCTCGCCCTCAGTAAATCCGCGAATCTATTGAGTTGCGCCGATACCATCTCTCCGGTCTATACTACAAAGGCACAAACTATGTTTTGTTATTATTTTTTGGGTTGTGGTATATATTATGCCAGTCATATTTGATTTTAAATATATACTACTCCCTCCGTCCCTCTAAGATGTTCTCATTTTGACTTTTGGTGATTTTTAAAGAGAGTTGAAAAAAGGTGAAAGTTTACCATAATACCCTTAATAAAATATGGGTGGAGTGTATTAAATGAGGTGGGTGAGGTGTAATAAATAAAGTTTACCATATATATGATGGAACAAAGATTAGAACATAACATGGCCTTTAGTTGAAGAAACTTCTAGAAAATTAAAGATAGGACACCCAATTCAATTTTTTAAGTGGTGTTTTTATGAAGTGTGAGGCAAATATTTTCGTGATCCTACGATTGACACTATTTTATGGACCTTAATATATATAAATAATATGGATTAATTGAGTTTTTTGAAAGAAAAAAATTCTTTATGTCATGCTATAAAAAGTATGAAAAAGTTCATATTTCACATATGGATCTTAATTAAAATTATGAAAGCACTACTATATTGAGTGTATTAAGATCATTGACCTTAATCTCTAACTCCGCGATCTGTACTCATAGTTATTCGTTGAAATTTTTTTACAAACACTTGGCGATCATATTGACAAGTCTCATATCTTAAGTATTATTGTTAGAGTGTATCCCACATCGAAATTTGAACAAAAAAGTAATTGGATATATAAGTTCTTGAGTTGATTAAGTAATCAATTTACTTTTCTATGCAATTTTTCGATGTGGGAATAGACTCTAACACTCCCCTTCAAGTGAATCGGACCGGTTGACCACTTGCAAATGGGCTCTCATCCTCTTGATTTTTTTAGCGCCAACACTTAAAAGACCACGAGCCGCTGTGTATGGACTTCTAGACGACCAATCCTGTTAAATGGGCTACAAGCTAATGGGTACATGCATACTCCATACGGACAAATGAGCTAAAGATTAACGAGCTGCTAGGAATGAACATTTAGACAGACACCTTAGACTAATGAACTGCTAAGAATGAACATCCAGACAGACACTTTGACAAACGAGGTGGGCCAAAAACTTAGGAGCTGTTTGTTTCAGCCTCGTAATGATTCAGATGTCTTGATGGTTCAGCACTTAATGGTTCAGACTGTTTGTTTCAGCCTCTTAATGGTTCAGATGTCTGAATGGTTAAGAGATTTGCCTCTGAATGGTTAAGTATTATACAGAGTCTGAATGGTTAAGACTTCTTATCTGAATTGATCAGACATTTGCCTCTGAATAGTTAAGCAATATACTAGCTCTTAATGGTTCAGACCTCTTACTGGTTCAGCACTTACCGATTCAGAAGTTGCCAAGCAGCCCCTTACTCTGATACCATGATAGAATTCTGGATGGGTACAGATCACTAGACTGTGTCATTTGACACTTGGGTCGAACCACATTAAAACATTGAATCGAATCGATTACTAAGTTCAACTTAATAACTCATATACCGATTACTTTTCTATTCAACTTTCGATGTCGGATAAATTCTAACAGACGACCATTTCCTCATTTTGGGGTGTGTTTTACATGTAGACCTCATCAAAGTGCAGATTGGGCTGGATTTCGGGCCGGGTGGAGACGCTACATTACGAGAATTTTCAAGGCCTAAGTTTGGGCCGGCCCGTGTAGCGGGCCTAACAATTGAAGTCAAGCGCGGCCCGCATGGATACCCGCGAACTTCTGGCTGGGCCAGTCTGCAAGACAAAAAAATGTTTAAATAATTAAAAATAATGCATTTAAAATAAAGTAATGTGTTAATATATTAGATGTTTGATATAATAACTATAATAATGAGTAAATGAAAGAACAACTAATATACAAATTATATTTTGTTTGATATTTCTACTAAGCCTACTATGTATGGAGTACATAATATTATTTCTTAGAATATCATTATGAACGTGTGATATGTTGTAAGAAAGATATACTCACTTTATTAAATATGTTTATAGTTTACTTTTTTCTCCACATAAATATGTGTGTTTATAATAATTTGAAATACTGTTATTCTTTTTATTATAATTAATATTACAGTTGTCGTAATTATTATATTATAATTACACTATTAAAAAATATTTTAATTCAATCGAGCCATCTCGGCTCGTGGGCTTGAACATAAAACTCGAGCCCGACCCGTATCCTAAAATGTCAAGCTCAAGCCCACTATTTTACGGGTGAGCCGAATACCCTGCACGCCCATGATCAGGTCTAGTTACATGTCATCCATTCACAAGTTTTGCTTACACTATGTTTGGTTTATGTTTAGCAACAAAAAGTAAAGAAAATTATTTTCTTTCATTTTGTTCATGAAAATAAGAGGACTTTTGTTTTTCTTTCTATTAAATTATTATATATTTTCATTTTATTTTTGTTCTACTTCTCTTTTTTTCGTCTCTAGCCAAAGATGAAAACGTGTTTCCATCTCATTTCCTTGTTTTTCCCTTTTCGTGGACCGAGTGAATCGAGTGGTGTGTCGAGTGAAATTTGAGTATTTGACCGTATATTCTTTTAAAGCCCAGATAGATTTTTCAAACATATAAGTATTATAATTTTTTTAAATAAAATCTAATTAAAAGTTTAATTTCTATAAGATAGGTATTATGATATTTAATTAAAATACTCCATCCGTTCCTGAAAACCTTTCTCATTTCTTTTTTCATCCGTCCCAAAAAACACTTCTCATTTCTATTAAAAAGTCACTTTTACCCCTTACTTTTTCATATCCTACCTATCATATCATATCTTTTTACTAACAATCTATCCATCAAATCATACTTTTACCCATCACATCAAAGAATATTTTTGAAAATTCAATACCAAAATACACTCCACTTAAATCCCTCTTCAAAATCAAAACTCTCATGTTTTCCGAGACAGAGGGAGTATATGATTTTTCTATGTATATTATTATAATGTTAATTATTATTTAAAAAATGAGTAAATTTATAAAATAGTCCATTCTAATAAAGTATTTTTCCAAATTAGTCCTCAAAAAATAAAAATTACTAACATGGTCCTTTATAATTGAAATGTATTCGCTAAATAGTCATACGTCAAAAATACATATTAAATTATAGTTAAATGTAGGATATTTTTAGAATTTTCAATCACTGAAACTATGAATAAGTCCTCAAGATGGTAATTTCAAATTAAGTGGTAGCTGCTAAAAGAACGAACTCATCCCGAGTAGGCTCATATACTCCATTTCGAGAAAATATTTATTTAGATATTATCAATTTAAAAAAACTTAATTATAAATGAGCATTTTGACAAAGGAACATTTAGGAAATAAGTCTAAATTATATAGGACCATGCAAGTAATTATTACTTATTGAGAATAAATTTGGAAAATAACTTATTAAAAAGAATCATTTTGAAAATTTACTCTAAAAAATGTGTCTTATAATTTAAATTGTTAGGGCCAATGATCCATATTTTTCGTTTCATTTAAGGCCTCAAATCTTTCGGGCCGACCCTAGAGATGGTCAGAATAAGCACCAATTCAATCCTTTACTTTTTGGATTTTTATCTCCCGACCGCCCACCTCATTTATATATACTCTTTCGATATTTAATATGGGCAAGCCCACTTTGCCCATTGAGGACTATTTTTCGAGCTTTATTAAAATTCGAGATTGGACATTATTTTACTTTCTCCTCAACTTTGATTCTGGACCAGTTTTAAATTTTACTTGCTTTGAAAAGATCAATCTAAAATAAAGTCAAATCAAAGTTGAATAAGAATAAAGTCACTTTGGCAAATTTTGAAGGTATGATACGAATAAGCTTTGAAATCTAGAAAAAATAATAAGAACTTTGAAATTTGAAATGAAATTCTTTAAGAAAGATTTTAAATCATTATTTAATTAGTAATAGATGGGGTGACTCGCAACAGGAATGTTGGCGTGACAATGGTACTCGGTGGTAGTGAATGTTCAACGGTTGAGAGAGGTATCGAACCAGATACTTATATATCCAAAATTCAGGAGATATCGAGATCCTCCATGTAAAGAATTTATTATATTGGGAATATCAAACTTGATATCTCTTTTGACTTCACCAAACACTAAATAAAATTTGGTTTTGATAAAATTCATAGATTTGTTGCTCATCAAACACACCCTAAGAGTACTGAGTAATTAATATAACAAGGACTAGAAATAAGAAGAGTGAAAACTAGAGTTGTAAAAATAAAAGGACAAAAATTGAATTTACTAGTTCAATCGCACTTGTACACTTGAAATTAGAGTTCACTCTTTTTTAACACTAATAACTCTATTATAATATAGTACTCCCTCCTCCTATAATGATCTTCCTGGTTCATTTTACGAAGTTTGACCGACTTTATTTTTAATTCAGTTTATTTGATTGTAGGTTTAAAATTAAAAAATAAAATTTATATATTTAAAAACTACATCAAAAGTTCTACAAAACAAGTGGTGACAAGACTATATTATTTTATCAAATACCTAACGAAAATAGGTAAAGAAAGTGATTAAAGTTTGACCGGGTAAAAAGTGAGTGGGAATAACATTGTAGGACGGAGGGAGTATCTGTTAGTACATTTTCAACTCATTAAACATGTAGGGTTATTACCCTCACGGGATTGAACAACCTGTGACCTCTCTTAATTTTCATAATTAGTCGTGCATAGTGATTAATAAAAAAAAGTAAAATCATATGATTGAAAGTCAAGTTGTCAATGAATCAATTCAATCAAAAGTTCAAGTTTGAGGTGGTATAGTAGGCCGAGAAGAAATTTTTATATTCTAACACACTTCACCACATACAGTTGTGGTCTCTTTGAACTTTGCACGTGAAACTTTAAATTTTTAATACCCAATGGGGTAATTTCAAACTGGATTATAAAGTTTCGGTTAGACTTCGATACCATGTCAAGAAAATATTTTTTATTTTAACGAATGTAGATGAGAGTGAACGAATACTAGCGGCAAAAAATTTTCTAAACATGGAAACCAGAACCTTTTTTTAGAGACAAAAAATGGAAAACATTATTGCAAACCGAGCGATTTTTTTAATAAAAATATTTCATAATGCATTCTTTTGTCTCAAAATTATCTTTTTACTTTTTTATTTGACTTGCCCCAAAAATTTTGTTTGCTTTTCTTTTACGAAAAAAGTTGTGTAATCTTTATTATTTCTCTTTTCTCTACCCTCATAATAACAACAAAAATTCCACTTTCTTAATACTCCCTCCGTCACTAAATAGATTACAATTTTTTTTTTATTTCCTCTCGATAATTTTTGTTTGTTTACACGATTTCATTAAGTATTTGATAAAATAAAATATTCTTGTAACCTCTTGTTTTATAGAATTCTTGACGTAGTTTTTTAATATGTACTTTGTAATTTTTATATCCTATTGATATACCAATTTTTAATAAAACGATTCCAAAAGGTAAGAAATTTTACTCTATAACCCACAATTTGTAATCAAATTGGGGATGGAGGGAGTAATACTTACATCAAGCGAGAGAGAGAAAAATATTATGGGAATCCCGGGAGTGGTTAGTTTCACGGGGGTATCAAAGCAGGTCATATGTGGACGCATGCGTACAAATCCTATTAATTAATCCCATGCCATTATTTAATACACACATGCGGAGTATCATATACCCCTTGGTCCTAATATGTTATCCAGTTTGACTTTTTTTGTACCAAAAGACAAATTTCGAGTTTCAATTAAATTAAAAGTTAATGTATATTAGTATAAAAATAATTTTATTAGATTTATCTTGTTAAAAATTTTCAAAATTTCATTTCATCGTGCAAATAAACAATACAAAAAGAGATTAGTTAAAGTTTAAAATTTAATCCAGTTTGACTCGAAAAAATCAAACCGGAGAGATAAATTGTGGCGGATGTAATAATATCTATTGAAAAATAAGTTAGCTAGCTACGTATAATGAGAATTGAATTTGTGGTTATAAATAGCTAGATATGAAACAATACAATATAAAGAGTAATTCATTCCATAATAATTAATTATACACACTCTCATTCGCATGTAGTAGGTCGGTCGGGGGGAATCGTATAAAGAGCCCATGCAAGGCCTAATCGTTTAGCTCTAAACCGCGGATTAAGCGTATATAATATACATACATACATTTGTTCTGCTACGTACCTAATTACTATACGTACGTGTCCGCGCCTAATTTCATTTCTATACCTAATTACTTTGCCAAACTCTTAGATAATTATTATTATTATGCGGCTATTATAGGGGTACGTATTAGCATATATATACATATATATATATAAAGAGTGGTACGAGGTTAAGTTTCATCGAAACCATTTATTGAATAATAATTTGGTCTTCCTTCCCGGGCAAAGCTCATATTTTCCGTTCCGGTAAATAAATAAAGCTTCCGGCCGGCAGAAACATTGAAATGGGAGGTGGTGGTGAAATCGTGATAAACACTCTTGCCTTGGCAGCCCTCTTCGGCATCCTCGGTACGCACGTACTTTTTTTACGTTGCAACCAACGTTTTATTTGTAGTACGTTTTAGTTTTGAGTATATATAGATTTTAGCCTATCTGTCAAGAAACCAACTACTCTCCATTGAAGTTCAAACTTGCGGTCGTGGTTTACAAAACGTATGAAAATCTATTGAGTTTGTTGTGGTTATTGGTTGGGACATGTCCTAATCTAAATCTGTGTTAATATAATACCAAGTTTTATTATTCAATTCAAACAAACTCATATAGATGTATTTCTGATCTAGACATCTCCAAAAGTGTAACTCAGCTCCTTCTGTCTGAAAATAATCTTTCTATTTGATTTTTACAATCTACAATGTTACACTTTGCCCATTAATATTTATGTTTATACATGGATATGTTTAATGAAAATTTAATATGAAATATTTCAAAACTACATTTTATAAGGAAAGTTTTGATATTCTATTTATATTAAAACAAAACGTATTTTTTTCTAAATATCAAAATCAAAATTTATAAAATTTGACTGAGAAAAGTCAAATTAGAAGATCATTTCCAAACGGATGAAATTCTAGTTAATACGAATTCATTTTTTAGTGGGATGTGAGACAAACTCATACTCCCTCCGTCCCACTGTTTTTGTCCACTTACCATTTGGCACACCATCCAATGCACTTCTTTAATCCATTTTATTTTGTAATTTGTATATTAAAAAATTATAAAAATTATATATTAATAATCTATATGTTAAGACGAATCAAACAAGATCACACATGAGTCAAATTGCTTAGATGAACAGTTCCAAAAGTCAAATGTGGACAAAGACAGTGGGACGGAGGTAGTACGTAAAATTTTTGAGTAAATTCCCAAAATAATCCTTTGTAATAAGGTGTTTTTCCAATTCAGTATTCAATAAGTTTTAATTACCTACATGGTCCTTTATAATTGGGATTCATTCTCAAGATAGTCTTTCATAAATAATGTTACTCAAATGATGATTAATAGGGAGATATTTTGGTATTTTGATCATCCAAATTTAAAGTATATTCTTGAAACAGTTATTTCAGTACAACTAAATGTAAAATTGAAAAAATACATTGACTATAAATAATTCATGGATTATTTAAAACTTATAAAAAAATCTTTTAAATTTTAAATCAAATACACATCTTTAATTAGAAAAAACCATTTTGGGAAAGCACTTCTTCATAAATGATCATTTTAAGAATTAATTCTAAATTTAGCGGATAAAAAATACCAAAATACCTTCAATTAATCTTCATTTGAGTAACATTATTTACGAAGGGCCAATCTTGAGAATAAATCTCAATTATAGAGGATCACGTAGGTAATTAAAGTTTATTGAGGACTGATTTGGGAAAACACTTTATTACAAAGGACTATTTTGGGAATTTACTCAAAAATTTTTAACATTATGCTCTATCTATCTCAAAATCTCCTGCCTACTTTGACATTTCTGAAATTTTAAAAAAGGATATTTTGGGTTAAAAATTGACAATGTGAACAATAAATAAACAAGTTAGGTAATTTACATAAATAGGACTAAAACATAATGATTTTCTCAATATAAGACCATATATTTTTATTTTCCCAATGTAGGACCATTAATCATTATCTATTAGTCATTATTCAACTAAATGTCCAGCATCACTTGGACATTATTCTTCTCACTCGTCATTATTAAATCCTATCTAGAGAATAAAAAAGTTTAAGTCCTACATTGAGAAATGACTTATGTTTTAGTCCTATTCAGTGCAAATTTCACTTTAAATTGGGAATGATGAATTACTTAATTTGAAATAAAAAAGTACGTACTCCATACAATTTAAATCCAATGCATATATATATAACCGTCCTTGTTTCCACAGGTAATGGTGTGTCATTTTTGGTATTCCTATCATCAATGTGAGTAATTACAAGTTTAGAACTATACCGCATATATTCACTATAATTGTTCTTGAATCTTAAATTAATTAAGAAATGCTCGGACTTCATTGTTGATTATTGTACATGCACCTATATCTTTTTCCTTAATTACTATGGAGTACTATTATTATTATTATTATTATTATTATTATTACTATTATTATTATTGATACAGGCCAATGTTCTGGACAATCCACAAAAGGAAATCATCAGAGGGGTTCACAGCCATACCATACTTGGTGGCACTTTTCAGTGCATCATTGCTGCTGTATTATGGGTCTCTCAAGACCGATGCACTTCTTATTGTCACCATCAATGCATTTGGAGTTGCCATTGAGCTCTTTTACATCATGGTTTTCTTATTTTATGCTACCAATAAGGACAGGGTACGGTTATATATATAATAATAATAATGCATGAATAAATTAAATAAAGTGCTATATTTTTCCATTTCCAAAAAAAAAAAAAAACTAAATTACGACTAAATAAATATTTGTATTCACATTTTTGGCAGTGGTTCACAATAGGGATTCTAGTAGTCCTGAATGTGGTAATATTTGGGGCGTTCGTAAGTCTAACTTGGCTTTTCACCGAAGGCGAGAAAAGGGTTAAGATTGTGGGATGGGCTTGTGCTTCTGTCAACGTTGCCGTCTTTGCCGCTCCTTTGGCCGTCATGGTACATAAATTGTTTTATTTCCTAAATAGCACTTAATAATGTTCATATATAATGTCTAGTGATGACGAATATTTATTTGAATAATGACTAATGCATAACGACTAAAAGTGCTACATTGGAAAAAAACACATGCGATGCTATTTATAGAAAGTCATTATGTTTTAGTGCTATATTTACTTAAATTCCCCTATTAAACTTACTTATTTTTTACCTCTAAAATGCATGCATGCAGAGACAAGTGATAAGAACAAGGAGTGTACAGTTCATGCCGCTGGGTCTATCGGTGTCCCTCACACTCTGCGCCACCACTTGGTTTTTCTATGGGCTCTGCGTAGCCGATTATTACATTGCGGTAAGTATATATATGTACCGCAGAGATTTTACTACCCATTCACACGTACTTACTGTGCCCAGTAAAACATTCCTCAAATATTATTACCAATGTACGGCGAGTGACGCGTGCTTATAAATACATGTGCATGCATGCAGTTGCCGAACGTGGGAGGGTTCTTGTTGGGAGTGGCACAGTTGGTTTTGTATTGGATTTACAAAGACTCCAAAAACGACGGAGAAGACGACATTGAAGCAAAAGGCGGCTACATCGGAGACGCCCATACTGCAGAGATGGAAATGATCGGCCGGTCTCCTCGTGGCGGCGGCGGCGGCGGCGGTAACGCCCACAACAATTGATTCATGCATATGTTCCAATGTCTTTTTCTTTTAACTTACAACAACAACAATCGAGTAAAAGATATATATATCCCATCAAAATATTCATAATGCCCTAATATAATTAGCTTGCGCGTACAGATGCTTTAATGAATTAGTTAGGGATAATTTATCCAAATAAGACTAAAACATAATGACTATCTCAATATAAGACCATATGTTTTTATTTTCCAATGTAGGATCATTGGTCATTATTTATTAGTCATTATTCAACTAAATGTTCAGCATCACTTAGACATTATTCTTCTCACTAGTCATTATTAAATCTTATTTAGGGGATAAAAAAGTTTAAGTCCTACATTAGGAAATGACTTATGTTTTAGTCCTATTCAGTGCAAATTTCACATTAGTTAAATATTTGTTCTCTATCTCTCTTTTTTTTTCAAATGCATGCATCAATGGATTTTAACTCACCGACGCGTCACTATTTGATTGAGTGGGGTCAATATAAAGTGTAAATAAAAGAAGTGAAATTTGCACTAAATAGGACTAAAACATAATGACTTTCCTAATGTAGGACTTAAACTTTCTTATTCCCTAAATAGGACTTAATAATGACATTGTGGGAGGAATAATGTCCATTAATGATAGACATTTACTTGAATAATGACTACTTGATAATGACCAAAAGTCCTACATTGAGAAATAAAAATATATAGTCCTATATTGGGAAAGTCATTATGTTTTAGTCCTATTTATGTAAATTACTCATAAAAGAAATATAAGGAAGACTTAATAAAATGATTACTCCGATTTCCAAGGGGGATTCAAAATCTCGTTAATTCGAACTGATCTACTTGTCTTAAACCAAGTCTCCAACCCAATATTTATCGTGGATATACTACTCCCTCCATTCTCAAAAAGAGTTCTTAGCTAGTTTCAGTCCGTCTCCAAGAAATTATGGGCCCTGTCCGACACGAAGAAAATGCGTCATTATGTGATACAAAAAATTAATCAATTAATTTCTTTAAATAATATATAACATTGTAGTAATAATAAAATGTCAAACTCAGTCTTATAAATTTGTAATTATATACTTCGTACTTTAGTACCTAATCGAGGATTCATGAAGTTCTTTTATCATTCTTGAGAGCAACCTATCCATAGTATATTAGATTTAGTGATTTAGGACTCTATTTTTAAAAATAAATCAAGAATTATTTTATATAAATAAATATATACATGTATATATACAAAACATTTGTGCCCCATTCAAAAACGAGCCCTGACCAAGTGACCTTTGCCCACCCTTTGAGCCGCCCCTGGCTAGTTTGACTAAGTCTAAAAATAAAGAAGTGCTAAATTGTAGTTGACTTCCACTTTTATCCTTGATGTGATAAGTAAGAGTAAGATGTGATGGATAGATTATTAGAGAAAAAGTATGATGTGATAGATAGGGTAGGGAAAAGTAAGGGTAAAAGTAATTTTTTAATAGAAAGTGGAAGTGTTTTGTTGAAAGTGAAAAAAAATGAAAGAAGAAATGTTTTTGAGAACGGATGGAGTAATACATATGCACTTTCTTATCCCAATTCAGTGGGCGCAACTGCACCCACTTGACATTTTGTGGCTCTACCACCGTAGGCTATAAAAGCACGAAGAATAGTAATCAGAAAATAAAAACTCTCGAAATATACTATTTCTCTATATATTGTACTCCCTCCGTCCACAAATAAACTTTACGTTTACTATTCACATGGTCAAACTTTATTCACTTTGTTGGCCTATTTTTGTCACCCATTTGATAAAATAATATAGTCATGTCACCTCTAGTTTTGTAGATCTTTTGATATAGTTTTTTAATATGTAATTTTTATTTTTCAATTCTATACCATTTTTCATATAAAATGATTTGAAAATAACTTCAGTCAAACATCGTAACGCGCAATGTAAAGTTTATTTGTGGAGGGAGAGGGTATTAGTACGATTTAGCTTGCATTTGTACATAAAATTTTCCTTCTAATTTATGGAGTAGCATACATGAGTAACATGACGTAATATACGGAATACATGGAAAATTGGAAATCAATCATCATTCTCATAGTCTTGGGCCATAATTTAAGTGACTAGCTAGATTTTATTGCGGGGCTTCTTCCCACGATCGGCGAGATTGACTCTTCTCTCGATCCAAGATCTAGAAGCCCCATGGCAGACCCAAGCAAGCCACCGAATCCTCGTCGGCCCATAACCTATAAGTCTCAAGCAAATAGGTGAAAGGAGCAATCTGGGCCTAACTCGTAGTTCCCCTGGGCCCGATATTCATCAACATCCACCTCTACATAAATATATGTTTATTCCATCAACATGGCATGTTTGGGAATATTGAAATTTGCACTAAATATCTTTAAAACATATGTCATTTCTCAATGTAGAGCTTAAACTTTTTTATTTCGTAAGTAGTACTTGAGTAATGTCTAGTGTCGGAAATAATGTCCAGTTATGGTGGACATTCAATGTGCAATGGCGATGCACATTTACTTGAACAATGATCAATGATACTACATTGGAAAAAAACATATGGTCTTACATTGGAAAAGTCACTATATTTTCGTACTATCTAGGTAAATTTCCCTTGGGAATAGCGTTAGAAATTGGCGTTAGCATTTTGCAAAGGCTATCTACGGGCAGCGTTTAGCGTTAGCGTTTTTAAACTAATCTACACCGTTAAAATTTCATTCAAAAGGCTAACGCTAGCTAATCGCTTACGCTATTCCCAAACCGGCCCATACTTCATCCGTTCTTGAAAACACTTCTGCCTTAATTTTTTGCGCACCCCATAAAATACTTTTATTTTTTCACCTAAAATATCTAAAATGCATCTCATTATGTAGTTTATTGCGGGTAGATATTGTTTTAGAGGTATTTTAAACATTTTAAATAGAGTAAAAGTATTTTATGAGGTGTGCAAAAAATTATGAAGAAAGTGTTTTCAATAAATAGAGTAAAAGTATTTTATGAGGTGTGCAAAAAATTATATCGATCATTAATTTTTCTAATTTAAATTATCCTTCAATTCTCTCTTCAGATAGACCAACCAAAAGAGATCTTTTAGAGATGCTATATACTTTGAAAAAATAAAGTGTTATTCTTAACAATGAGATTAATGACTGTGCTCGTGTGTATGTTATTTTTGTCTTCATTTTAGTAGGACTTTGATGTTTTAATAACACGATGCATGTATCTTCTTGAGCTTAAAGTAAGACTGATTTTTGAAGTGTAACGACTAAAAATTTGATTCTAGAAACTAAAATATCGAACATGATCGATTGTTATATACTCTAATGGTATCATAATAATCATCATAGAAGTTTGGTGGTGCGGAGTAAACGCTTTGTTGAGTTTGTTATGATAAAAATCTTGTGTGTGGGGGTTCGAGGGCATCGCCCCCGAGCAAGCTTCAGGGCGGCAGCCCCTGCAGGGTCCAAGAGGCAGAGCTACGCAAAGAGACAAGCATCGCGCGAAGGGATATTTCGAAAAGAAGAGATAAGCACTGTTTTCTCAAGAATCGTGCAAAGAGACGCATGTTTTGTACGAGAGACACGACCGCAGCCTTCTTCCCTTCCGCGGTTCTATAAATTCCGCTGGTTACTTGGTCGCCAAAACAGAGTTCGAAAATTCCATATGAATCCGTACTTGTTCTTGATAAATTTGAGTTTTATCTAATTGATTTTTGGATTGAACAACCAAAATAATTAATCTGAAAGTGCTACACGACTCTCAAATTCATTCGAGTTATCTACGTTTATTTCTCAACAAAGATGGATTATTTTCATCGAAGATTGTTAGAGTGCATCCCACATCGAAAGTTCTAGAGTTAAATAATCGGTATATAAGCTCTTGAGTTGAACTAACTGATCGATTGAATTCAATCTTTTAATGCGGTTCAGTTCATGCCAATTGTCTTATTACCAAATCCAGTTATCCTTACCCCATCGTAAATTTATCATGGTATCAGAGCAGATTTTGGTTCATCTCATTTGTCAAGGTGTCCGTCTAGACGTTCATTCTTAGCGGCCCGTTAGTCTTTAGTCCAGTTAATGGCCCGGTTGTCCACTTGAGGGGGAGTGTTAAAGTGCATCTCACATCAGAAGTTCAAGAGTAAAATAATCGGTATATAAGCTCTTGATTTGAATTAACTAATTGATTGGATAAAATCTTTTAATGTGATTCAGCTACAGTGTCTTATGATTGGATAATAAGCAACAGATGCTTATTATCTGTATTTGCCTGTTGTACGAATGACTATTCTATTTTAGCGTACCCCTTCATTTTAATCTAATCCATTGGCAAATTTGGAAGACACAATTTTCAATTGGGCACTCAACTGATGAACTTTACTGCCTGAGCCCTTTCTGCAGCCATTTCTTCAACACGTCCACTAGTTTTCATTATTGTGTAGTTTCACGCGCAATTTGTTTTCACCTAAATAGCAATCTGGGTCCTAGACTATTTTTTCAAAACTTTTGATGATTTTAATCCACTTAAAACCAAAAAAAAAATCTCTTAAAAAAGTTCTATTGTATCCTAAAGGGTTTAGTTGTTGATTTTGATTAGTCTATTACTCTATTACTCCGAATTTACCTAATCCACTTTAATAATTAAATCAATCGAAGTGTGTGTTTTATGGTGACAAACGAAATTACTCCTTCCGTTCCTAAATATTTGTCACATTTATATTATTGAGGCAAAATATGAAGTTTTTTCAATTCATTTTATTTACATATTAGTATAGAAATAAAAAATAAAATTTACATATAAAAAACCTGCATGAAAAGTTCTTCAAGATAAGAGGTGTGAAGAATATTTTATTTTATCAAATAAACAATGAAAACGTAAAAATAAACAAAAGTTCTCGCGACTGCTAAGAAAGCAAACGCTTGCAAATAATTTGGAATGGAGGAAGTATGAGATAAAAACAGTCAAGTGGTAAAATTACGAAGATTACTTGTTGAGATGAGAGTCAATTTACATGATAAAAATCACAATCATTTAGTCAGAAATTAAGCTTTTCCAAACTAATGGATCAGGTAAATTCTTAGGTGAGCGACTCAACTCCAAAAAAGGCAAAGTCGTCCGTGAATGAAGAGAACAGTGCATATAATTTAATCAGCCAACATACTAGAAATCTCAACATCCATAATGATCGATCTAGCTACAAATTAAATTAAATGCTACAAATATGTAATCAACTAATCAATCAATTAAGGGACGGGGGCAATCACGAAGATGATGATCAATTCAATTCAATTCAATTCGTACCTATCATTAATTAACAACACAACAACGAAAGCAAATAATTAATTAAGAATAATAATAATAATAATAATGTGGCCGGCAAATTAAATTCCGGCAATACCAGGTAGCGTCTGGTGGCTGCTGCGGCGATCCTCCTCCTCCTCCTCCTCCTCGTCGTCGTGATGGTGGTGGTGTTGATGATGAGGATTGTTATTGTTGTTAATGTGAATGGGGTTGTTGTTCTTCTTGGCGGCGGAATTCTTGTTGTTGTGCATCCAAACCTTAAAAACTTGTCGCTTCACCCCAACCTCGGCACAGAATGTCTGCAGCTGGGAGTCGTCTTCTCTCGGGATTCTCCACCCCAGCTTCTCCGCGAACTCCATCATCTTCTCTTTCTGCCCCTGCGAAAACTTCGTCCGGAACCGCTTCTTCCCCCCCGCCGCCGCCCCGTACGCCGCCGACGACTGGTATGCGTTGAAGTTCATCTCCTCGCTCGACGAGTCCGTCGCCGCCCCGCTCCCGTACCCCGCCGTCCGAGCCGGCGGCGGCGCGGTCAGGGTGGGGGGAGGCGGGGCCGACCACGGCCCGCTCCGGTGGTAGCTGTGGTGGTTGGTGGATGACGGAGATGTCATGGACGGCGCGAGCGGCGGCGCCGGGAGCTGGAGGGGGTGCACAGTCATGACGCCGGCTTCCCCTCCGCCGCGCTCCTTGCGGTGGAAGTTCCGGTGGCAGTTGCAGGCGGCGCACTTCAGGGCCTCCAGAGTGCCGTCGTCCCCGCTGGGCATGAACTCCCCGCAGCCGTCGGTGACGTTCCCGCCGACGCTGGCGGCGTGGTTCTTCAGGCATTCCCGGTACCTGCAGCCTCCTCCTCCAGCGGAGCTCATCGTCAGCTTAGGCCTGAAACCTCCGCCGGCGTGGTGAAGATCTTGCGCCGGCGGCGGCGGAGACTGATCCAAATCCTCTAGTGGGTTATTGTAGCCGGCCAGCGACCCTGACATTCTTATCTTCTCCTTATCTTCCCCCCTGATCTCCATCCAGTTCATATTTAGTTTTGTTCATATTTAGTTGTTTTTTTTTTTTATTATTATTTCAGTATTCATTTATTTATATTTATGAAAAAGATTAATATGCTCTGCACTATTATGTTGCAGTATTTAATTACAAAATTACAAATAGGTAACTGTTGGAGGCAATATATACAGCTAACATGCTTACAAGTACAAAACCCTAACTAATTATGTCCAGTAAATTAATACCCCCCTTCAATATATATATTAATCGCGATGATTAAGTAAAGGACTATATCTACCCCGTCCTTGTAAACAAATCGATGATCATCTTCTTCGTTATTCATGAAAACGCTTAATTAGATCTGGCATTAACTGATCTATCTGATCTTTTATGGAGTTTTCATTTTTTTATTAAAAAAAAAAAAGAAATAGTGATTCAATTCAATTCAATTCAATTCTGAAGAGTAAAAAAACAAAAGGGTCTGACGAAAGTATGCACTTTAATTAATTGATTTCATAAATCTGCAAAGTTTTCTTGAAATCGAGAAAAAGAAGATCTGTAAATAAAACAGTAGGTAGTAGGACACATACAGTAGAGTAAAAATATTTCGGAGTAGTAGAAAAGGAAGGAATTGAAGAAGTTGAATTCAATTCCAATAGAGAAAGAGACGAAGCTAGCTAGGGATGGGCCCGAAATTAAATAATAAATTTAAAAGAGAGAGAGAGAGAGAGAGAGAATACCTTCTTTTAGGGAGTGGAGTGGAGTGTATATATTGATGATCCAATATAATTCAAGCTGATTGATTGGCTTTGCTTTGCTTTGGTTTGCAGTAATAAGCTTTGGTTATTAGAAGAAGAAATGGAGCTTTAATGGCATGATGATGATGATGATGGAGAAGAGAAAAGGCAGAAGAAGAAGAAGAGATGAGAGGTAGAAGCCAAAGGAGGCTGGGTGCAGGGAGGAGAGCAGTAGCAGCTTAATTGAAATCTTAACTACTCTTATCTCTTTCTCATCCCTCTCCCCATATATGCTAACCTCACCTAGGGTTTACATAAATTGCATATTTTAATGATCATGTTTTTATTGGACTAAAATTTGTTATTCCTCTCTCTTTCTTTTTACTTTTCTCTCAAAACTAGTTAGTCAAATGAGAACTTAATTATTTTTTGGGGAAATTAAAGAATTGTGATCTTATGTGTTTTTTTCCCTTTCGTCCCAAAATATAAAACTCACATTTTATATTTTAACATTAATAATTCTATTAAAAGGTAATATTTGTTCATACATACCATATGATCTCTCATGCATTTGAGAGAATCATATCGATTTCATTGGACCACAATTACGTATTTAGCTTTTTGTTGAAAAATACTCATCTCTTATTATTTTGAAAAAATAGTTTTATAGAGGCCACCAAATTTGCGTACCAAATAGCCTCATTATAAGCCAAAAATTCCAACAAGCTTTACATTCCATGTACGAAAACATTGGTATGTTTCATTTTAATTATCTTTTTCCACATATTTCAGTCACATAATTTTATATTTTTAAGTTGTGTTAAAAATTGATAATTTATAAAGATTATTAACATAAGTATGGAAAAGATGTATGTAGTATAAGCTTTAGCTTGGCTTGGCCCGAAGAAAGCTGCTATCAAGCTAAGAGCTGTCGTACGTCTTAGAATCGAATCTTAATCTATTATCCATATACTCCCTCCCTCCCATGAAACATCGGACTTTTGCTTTTTAGGAGGGATTTAAGGGAGTGTATTTTGATATTGAATTTTCAAAAATGTCCTTTGATGTGATGGATAAAAGTATGATTTGATGGATAGATTATTAGTAAAAATGTATGATGTGATAATTAGGGTATGAAAAAGTAAGGGGTAAAAATGACTTTTTAATAGAAATGAGAAATGTTTTGTGCGACGGATAAAAAAAAAGGAGAAAGGTTTCATGGGACGGAGGGAGTATAATCCCAATTCCTAAAAGCGAGCTGAAACAGTAAAATAAATTTACTACCCCCTCCGTCCCTAAATAAAGTTTCTCTTTTGTTTTTTCTTTGTCCCTAAATAAACTTCTCTTTTCCCTTAAAACCCCTCTTTTACCCCTTACTTTTTTATACACTATGTATCACATCATACCTTTTTACTAATAATCTAACTATCACATCTTACTTTTACACATCAATCAATGGTATTTTTCGAAAGTCAACACAAAAATATCCCTCCCTTAAATCCTCAAAAAGTCAAAAATGGAACTTTATTTAGGGACGGAGGAAGTAATTATTTCACAGGCAATTAACGAAGGCATGTTTAAGTTTCTTTATTACTCATTAGAGTAACATTCATAATCTAAGTTATATATTTAAAATTTACATTCTAGTATCCATAAAATAAATAATGTTTTGATTATATATCTAAAAAATGGTTACGCGTAACAAATAATTTGACTGAGAATAGAGGAACATATTACTTTCCTCTCATATCTTTCTCCCGCCGTTAAAGTAATACTTTTATTATTAACTAATATCTATATTTGTGTATAAAAATGTTTTGCACGGACACAAAAACATGATATTCAAAACAACGCTTCCACATAGCTTTGTGTGGGAACTTTTATATATATATATATATATATATATATATATATATATATATATATATATATATATATATATATATATATTTACATTTGTTTGTTTTTGAGAAAAAGAAAAGAATAAAGTGTAGTAGGGAGGGAGAGGTGGTGTTGGAGTGGATCAAACAGGAGACAAGTTGGTTGCCTGAGAAGCATCCTTAATTCATGTTTCTCAAATGCGAGGCTGGCTGGCTAAGCTCACCTCCTCCCTGCAGCTGGCCCCGGCCGGCCGGCTCCCGTTTTGGAACCATATGCTCTTTATCCACGACATATGCATCACCCCTTTCATTCATTCACACCCATTATTTATATAGTGACCCCTCACCTACTTATTATTACTTCATTAATGTATATTTTTTATTTGAAGTGTTTCTTTTTTTTTCATCTCAGAATTAACAACTTCACATTTTAATTAATTTCTTTTTGCAGATATCAAAGGCACAAAATACATTCATTACAATATTCATCTATTATTATAAAATGGGATAAACTAATAACTTGATTTGATTCCTGACAACTATATATATGCCAAGAGATAAACATGCATGTTCATAACTAACGTGACATTTGCATTGAACAAGTGCATGCATGCCATTTTCACCTTTTATATATCACTCAAAGATTTATTTTCTCTCTCAATTTTATAATTCGATTTTTTTATTAAGAATTTTCGAATATTAAATTTCAATATGATACTCCGTATAAAAATGATTTCGAAGAAAGAGAAAAAAAAGTTAAACTAAAAATCTTCAATTTGGGATAGAGAGGGTATCGAATCTCAACATACCTCTTCTGGCTAAATTCTTGATTGTGTGATCCACTTCAAGGGATGGGTGTGCTTCATATCTTCTTTTTTTTTGTCCATGATAATGGGAATATTAGGGAGTGCTCCCTCCGATCCCTCACAATAATAAAAGGTTTTATCTTTGAATTAACACAAATTCAAATATTAAAAAATAAAATTATATAATTAAAAGTAATACAAAGAGAATAATTTAGAAAATTATTTCCTTCCTAAAAGATGTTGTTGATATTATTCCCTTCATTCTTATTTAAATGATTGTTTTGTTTTACGTGTCAAATGTTTGATTCACTATATATACTCCCTCTTTTCTTAAATATTTGTCACACCTCTATTACCGAGATAAAATATTAAGTTTTTTCAAATCATTTTATTTACATATTGGTATAGAAATAAAAAATAAAATTTACATATAACAAAAAATCACATGAAAAGTTCTTCGAAATAAGATGTGTCAAGAATATTTTATTTTATCAAATAATCAATAAAAACATAGAAATAAACAAAAGTTTTCGGAACTGCTGAAAAGACAAACAAATGTGAGATATATTTTGGGATGGTTGGAGTATAAGAGTATGTGTTGCGTTTAATTGGTTTTTAGGGTGATTGAGGTTGTCCGGGGGGCTCCTCCTCCTCCACGCACCTTAAATAATTAGAACAAAAATTATTCATCGTAAAGCGTGTTTATTTAGCAAGTACGAGTAGTAGTAACTGATTAACTAACTAGATTTGGGCAACTATTAGGTGGGGGAAATTAATTAATTAATTACTAATACGGGAGTGAAATTAATAATTGAAAAAAAAATAAGAAGAAGAAGAAGAAATGGAAAAGAAAAGAGAGAGAGAGAGAGAACCGACAAGGTCATGTTCAGTCCTCTCCCCACGCCCTGCAAAACACTTACAACGACCCGGCCCATCATCGCGAAGCATGGGCCCATTCCCCTCCTGCATGCATTTCTCCATCTTCATTATTGCTTTCTTCTTTCTCTTCCACTGCCATGAAATTAATTAATTACAGTGACTATATAGTACTTTCTACTGCTTGCTTTTTCTTACTCTCTTCGTTCTCAAAAAGTGTTCCTATTTTGACTAAATATAAAAATAAGGAAGTGTTAAATTGTAGTTGACTTCTAATTTTGTCCTTGATGTGATGGATAAAAATAAGATGTAATGGATAGATTATTAGAGAAAAAGTATGATGTGATAGGTAAGGTATGAAAAAATAAGGGTGAAAGGGGTTTTTTAATAGAAAGTGGAAGTGTTTTGTTGAAAGTGGAAAAAATGAAAGAGAAGTGTTTTTGAGAAGGAAGGAGTATTTTTTCTTTCTGTAATTTCATATCAATGGGGGGGTGCCAATGCCAAATTGCCAATGTCAGTTCACACCTCCGTTTTTACGCAAACACACTCTGATTCCTGCCTGCCTGGCCAGGCTGCCACGCCCTTGAAGTTTTGACCCCTTCCATGGGCCCCTTTCTCACCACGCCCCCACTCCTTTTTCTTATTCCTTTTCACTAGCAACAAAAAAAAAGATGAGCCCTAGCTATTTTGTGTAGGACCTCAGGCGCTGCCAACTCTTCTAAAATCAATTGGTGTTAGAAGATACGCATACACTAGCCTTATAGTGCATTCAACACACAAGCGCCCACGACATTCGACTGTGACTTGGCCCACACAGCCTCCGCCACGGGACAATTGCTGCACACATGCCAACATTTCGAGGCCCCTTCGGACCTAATCAGATCGTTACGGAGAGAAGATAAATTCAATTTTGATCATAGATTTACTTTACGTGGCTCATTATTTTCTGTTGTGGGATAATCTTATATTTTCTTACGTTAGATAAGATCATGTCAGATGAAAAAATTCAAAGAGATTCTACCTAAATTGTAAAAATTCCGGTGGGCCGCGAACAAATAGTGGAGTGTCGGGTAAAATGAATCATTTGCACGAGATCCACTATTCTAACCCAAAAGCTTAAGGTGATAGAAGGGTTTCACCCTTCTATATATGCTAGTGGTATTCTTCTTTATTTCCCTCTAATATTATTGTTCAATGTCCACTGGTCATTGTTTAAGTAAATGTCCAACGTCATTGGATATTTTTCAAACTAAATGTCCACCGTTTGTTGGCATTAATCCTACCAGTAGACATTATCCAAGTACTATTTGAGAAATAAAAAAGTTTAGTACTACATTGAGAAAGAACAT